TAAACTGTTTCCAAATAAATAAAATTATGATATCAGGCGAAACACTTACAAAAAACTCTATTTAACAGTTATTTCTTAATTACTTTGGAATCTTGTTACACCCTGTATATTTTATTTTAAAAAATACTATTTTATTAACAAATAAATAAAATAGATGTTCAATTTTAATTTATATATAGTAATATAGAAAGTTGGGATCCAAAAATTGCATCACGACATCCCACAAAACGGTCACACTGGTCTTAGATGTTGATTTTAAAACGCCTTTTTTTCTTGAGGGCTTCAAAAAATTCTTGGCAGCTGACTTCAACCTAACCTAACCTGTGAATCGGTGAGAGACTCCTAAAAATTATGTTTTTTTTCAACAATTTGGCAACGCCCGGTACAAATAAATATGGGTATGAAAACTACAAATATTCTAGCATCAAAATTGCTTACTACTTTTTGGTAACTATTGGTAACTCAAAAGATTTACATCATTCAATATATCGATATTTGATAAAAAAAGTGAAAGTTTGATATCTGCAAAACAAAAGCACGAAATATTTTAACGAATAATATACGTGTAGTATAAAAGTAAATAACATAATTTGGTTTTGGTATAGAATGTATAAGCACTTGTAAATATTTCGTTTTCGTATGACCTCTGCCTTGCTGAGCAGAAAATGACCTTTAGTTGATAAAAATGTATCGAAATACATATAAAGAATATATAACCAAAAAATAATTGATACATTTTTATATCTATTGGAATGATTACTATTAATTCATCAGTACACATTTTTTGGTTTATTTCTAACAAAACGGTTTTGTCCCGCTAGAATTACCGTCCGCCGCACTGTGCGCAAGGTGAAAATATGCTATAACCACAGACTTAACTATGGCCACCGTCTAAAAATATTCTAATTAAAAATTTTTAGACGGTGCATTGGCTATAACCACCTATAACTCTTCTGGTGGTGTGGTGCTAGCTCTGTAAGTTAGGTGCTAGATAGTGCTAGGTGGGTGCAATACAGTACTAAAGTTTTAATGGAAATAAAAATAAAGCGAAATAATAAATACACTATAACTCTTTTGGGGGTGTGGTGCTAGCTCTGCAAATTGGGTGCTAGGTAGTGCTAGGTGGGTGCAATAGAGTGCTAAAGTTTTAAGGCAAATATTCAACCGGAGGGGGGGCTAGCGTTACATTAGCCCCTCCTGGTAAAATGTCCTGTAACTCGCTAGGGGTTGTGGTGCTAGCTCTGTAAGTTGGGTGCGAGGTAGTGCTAGGTGGGTGCAATACAGTGCTAAAATACTAAAGAGTTTGGAGAACCGGGGGGGTTACTGTAACGGACCCACGTTTTGGCCTACTAGAATTGCCATCCGCCCCACTGTGCGCCAGGTGAAAATATGCTATAACTCTTCTGAGAGTGTAGTGCTAGCTCTGTAAATTGGGTGCTAGGTAGTGCTAGGTGGGTGCAATAGAGTGCTAAAGTTTTAAGGGAAAAATTCAACCGGGGGGGGGGCTAGCGTTACATTAGCCCCCCCCCGGTAAAAATGTCCTGTAATTCACTAGGGGTTGTGGTGCTAGCTCTGTAAGTTGGGTGCTAGGTAGTGCTAGGTGGGTGCAATAGAGTGCTAAAGTTTTGAAGGAAAAAACTCAAAACGGGGGGGGGGAGTTAGCACACATTAGCCCCCGGTAAAAATGTCCTGTAATTCACTAGGGGTTGTGGTGCTAGCTCTGTAAGTTGGGTGCTAGGTAGTGCTAGGTGGGTGCAATACAGTGCTAAAATATTAAAGACTTAAAACGAAAAGAGATAGACTAATGAAATTTTACGGAAGCATTACTGTTATGAAAACACACTTTCTGGTAATTTTTTCACTTTTTTAAAATGAGTGGAAGGGGTTGAAATAAACTACCCCTATCATTCTTGTTAATGAAATTTAAAGAAAAATCTTATCAAACACATGCAAAAAAAATTAATTTTGATAGTTTAGTTTATTTAGAAACTTTTTTATCTCTTGTGTTTTTTTGATAAAACTCACCGATTTGTAATTAAAAAATAAAATGTAAAGCATTACATGTCAGGACAAAAAACATTTTTAGATAAAGAATCTAGTGGGCAGCTGTAATTTTTTTAGGAAAAAATCTAGTCGGCCGCTGTCACTTTTTAGGATGTTTCTAATATTGTTTTATTTGACATTACCCTACTGCAATACGTTATTATCTACATTATTATTATTATCATTATTATCACTATATTATTAATCTAAAAATATTTTTAGTCCTGACATGTAATGCTTTACATTTTATTTTTTAATTTCAAATGGGTGAGTTTTATAAAAAAATACAAGAGATAAAAAAGTTTCTAAACAAACTAAACTATCCAAATTAATTTTTTTGCATGTGTTTGATAAGATTTTTCTTTAAATTTCGTTAACAAGAATGATAGGGGTAGTTTATTTCAACCCCTTCCACTCATTTTAAAAAAGTGAAAAAATTACCAGAAAGTGTGTTTTCATAACAATAATGCTTCCATAAAATTTCATTAGGCTATCTCTTTTCGTTTTCAAGATAAAAAATAAGAACATTATTTTTCCGCCATCTTTGTACCGCGATATCTCCCTAATGGTTGACTTTTGACCCAACGTTTATGAAGCAAACTACCCTTTATTTTGAACAAGGAATCACCCCCTGAAGTTTTTTGCATTTGTTTTGAAACACCCTGTATAGTTTTATAACATTTACAATTATTTTTCGATTTATTAAAAGTATTTAAACGTTACAATAGCAAGTGTAACATTTTATTTAATGAATAGATATAGGGTGTATCTGTTATAGAAATATTTTTTATAGTTTTCTAGGACACATTTTTATAACAATTACAGTTATTTTTCGATTTATTGTAAAGTTTTAAAAAAGTTGATATTTTGATTTAAATCACATGATTAAAATTAAAAAAATCACTTGATTTAAATCACGATTTAAATCACGATTTAAATCATGATTTAAATAATTTGATTTAAATCATGCCAACCCTGATAAATATCGCTATCCTGAACTATACAGGGTTTTCAACATTCTATGCCAAAATTTCTAAAATATAAAATAATTTTTCTTATTTTTTTTTAATCAAACACCCTGTATATTATTTCTCTGTTGATGGAGAATCAAGAAATTAATATTTTTGTATTTAAAGTATTTTAAATTTTTTAGCGGTTGTTCAAAATAATCGCGGTTTTTATTAAATTTCTCAACGCTCTTCAACGGTAGGTAAAATACCAAACTAAAGTCATTAGGTGGCTTTGATGAAAAATTACTATTGAAAAACCCATTATATATAATACCGCGAATATCCACAACACCGTTAAAATTTTTGAAATACTTTAAGATAAAAAAAATGTTCATTTTTTAATTCTCCATCTAACAAAGGAAAAACAATAATATACTTAAATACATGCTACAGTTTTTTTTTTATAAAATTACCTAATGGTAATTTTGTAAAGCATATATTTTATATATTAAATATTAATTTCATATACATGGTGTTCCATTTAAAAAAAAAACGGAGAAAAATTATTTTATGTTTTAGAAAATTTGGCATAGAATTTTGAGCAACCTGTATGGTTTAAGAAACGAGATTTATAGCAAAGTAAGTACAGACCAGCTATAGCATATACTTAGTATAGTTTCAGGTTCAGGACATTTCTTATATTTTTTGTATTTTTTATTTATTAATATCTTTGAAACTATCAAAACATATTTAATGATATGTTAGGATTTTGTAAAGTGATTAAAAAGGAAGCCAAAAATTCGAGTGTTATATTAAAAAAAATCAATACCGATCCACTCACACTTTTTGAGAAATCCATCCTGTAAAAGTTAAAATATTTTTCTGAATTATATCCTAATACTTATATTATTATTATATCATACTTTAGGTTTGCGCTTAAACATAAGTTTTTTATTATAAGAGCTACAATGTCCGACGCACTATTAATATAATTGAGCGTTCGGATTGCACAATGACCTTAGCGCGTGGCCGCCGGCAGCCCAGTAGGCAAGCGAGACAACGACGCGGTGATTTAACAAAATAAATAATTTTAAACCTGCCGTTATTTCGTTAATAATTATCGTATCGTGTTGATTTTTGCATAGAAATACTCATGAGTCTTTAGCGCTTCCGACAAGCCAAATAACTGGATTATTTTTTATATTTTCGATTTGTTTACATTGCCCGAGCATATTATAACTTTAAGATAAAAATCTCTGTTATACATTTTAAAACTGACAGATATGAATACTATCATTTAACTAGTTATACATTTAGTTACAAACATATTCAAAATTTAGGTCTATAGGTTTATGCTAGCAGTAATAACGAGTATAAATAAAAAAAAATGGTCAGTACAACGACAGAACAGATACAAATCAGAAATTTCACTTATGGGATTTCCGTTGTCAAGATTTTATTTTTTATGTGATATGCGCGCAGGCGGCACAAAACCATGCGCAAGGTTTTTGTGAGGTTGCCAAGGTAACCCATAATTCTCAGTACTTGAAAAATGTATTTTTATATTATAATCCCACGGCCACATTTCTTCACTCATTTAGCATTTCTTTCACGAAATAAGTGACGCAAGTATACAAGAATTACCGAATATACATAATTATGAGGAATTTGATATATTTGGAAAATTAAAATATGCCTAAAAATTAACATTATTGCAAAATAAAAACACTAAATCACCACAATACACCAAAACACTTTTACTTTTACACTGGACGCGCGTTTCGCTAACCATGTTAGCATCATCAGCAGATGATTATAAACTCAGAATATAGTTCAGTTCACTCATATTGCAGTTATATTCAGTTTATAATCATCTGCTGATGATGCTAACATGGTTAGCGAAACGCGCGTCCAGTGTAAAAGTAAAAGTGTTTTGGTGTATTGTGGTGATTTAGTGTTTTTATTTTGCTGTGTAACACCAAAGGTTCCAACCCTCAACTGTAACATTATTATTACGAAAAACGCGGCATGGCAACGTCCCTTGAGTGCAGCATTTTGCGACGTAGTACGAAATGTAACAAAAATTTACCTCATTTTCTGCACAAAAAAAGTTAAAAAATATTATCATTGAAATATTTAAACCAAAACAATTGAAATTGATTTTAGAATAAATAAAACCAACGGGCATCGTCAGTTTTGCACTCTATTTTGCTTTACTGCTAAATATAAAAAAATTATTATTGCAATGGTAATTAAAGATTCAGGAATTTCTTTGTTAAAATCTGACAACTGACAACGTTGCTCAACATTTCTAACCTAAAAATATGAATGTCATATGAACGGGCGGAAAAGTAAATTAACGGAAAAGTAAATTAAAATAATTTTAATTTACTTTGTGGTGTGTTTGTGATATTTTGTGACTATATTTGTTTGACAATTTTGTTTATAATGGGCCTTCGTTACTGCTGTGTTCCCGGCTGTTTAAGCAATACGGAGACTGATATGGGTCTTAGCTTCTTTTCATTCCCATTGGATCCAAAAAGGTACATAAATATTTTTTATCTACACAATAAGGAATGTTTCCTCTAGAATTTTAAACAATCTAGTAAGATTTTTTAGAAATTCTAAAGTTTTTGACAGACTCATGTAGTACAATCATCTATTAAATAACGAAAAATATTTTAATAAATTCTAGATGTTCTGAGTGGGTTAAGAACTGCAACAGGCATGATTTTAGAGCAAAATCACCTATAGATTTGCATAGAGGGTATAGAGTTTGTGGAAAACACTTTCAACCTACCATGTTTGCGGGAATGTCTCAAAGCCGTCTAAAGAAATTTGCTGTTCCAACTTTATTGATGTCAGGTGGGTTCATAAGCATTGTTTTTCATTTTACTTGTAATTTTTTTCAAATCATCAGTTGCTTGTTTATCTGCACAATCGATTTATACACTTGCACAAACGAACATTTAAATAAACAAAAATAGTTTATAGATAGGCATTTAGAAAATCCAGTTTCAGTCTGTTCGTGGTGGTTCTGTGTAATATTTTCAATATTTTTATGACAAATACTATATTACTGAAAAACAAAAACTTTTGACAATAACATTTAGCTTTCAATTTTGCCTCTTAAAATTGTGTTTGTGTTATGCTCAAAAAAATTAAATAAATATATTTTTGTAGACAATTCCATGATGGAAGTTGAAGCTACTATTCCTGCTGTTCCTATTACATCTGAAGGTGAGTAAAATACTATTTTTTTTAACCTTTTAAACACAATGCAATAGGGTATAGAATTCCAGTTTTCAATAAATATTTTATTTTATGTTTTCAGCGGTTTCAGAATCTACTTCACCAGATGTAATTGCTATTCCATCAACATCCAAGGAAGTTACATCTGAAGGTGAGTAAAATACTATTACCTTTTAAACACAATGCTGAATATAAATCTGAACTGCCATACCGATATAGGGTATAGAATTCCAATTTTCAATAAATATTTTTTTATGTTTTCAGCTGTTTCGGAATCTACTTCACCAGATGTAATCGCTATTCCATCAACATCCAAGGAAGTTACATCTGAAGGTCAGTAAAATATTTTATAAACACAAGGCTGAATACAGGGTGGCGCACCTCATTCATCTTGGTTGATTATACGAAAACGTAAAGATATAGAAACAAAATATTTTATGGGTATATGTGGAAAGACAATGTACTTAATTTAAAATTATTTTAAAATGTACAGGGTGTGTCAGGACTAAGATCCATACCAAAGTTATATTTTTTCTTATGGAACACACGGTATTTTATTTCACTTTGGGATTCTTGGACATAAAATAAGGTATTTATTATAAGGGTTTAATATGTTTAAAAGGTTTGGTTTTTGAGATATTTAAATACATTTAAATATGCATGTTATAATAACAAAGTTTGTCAACATCCTGTACATTAATTTTTAAGAGTTAATTCTTGTGCTGACTTTGAAGCCAGAGAAATAAACTTTACTAAAAAAATGTATTGCATCCTTAAATGTATAGAGGGGTATCAAAAATTGCTGGTCTATTTTAAGTATTTACTTTACATAAAAACTTTGTTATTTCAAATACAACACTATGTATTTTTTAAAAGAAGTTGAAGCAGATTTTATTTTATATAGATATGTTTCTAAATACGATAGGTTCTTAAATACAGATTTTTTTTTAGATATTTTTAATTAGCAAGTAAGTTTAGTTAGATGATATATATTTATCTATTCTTTTTTTTTAATTTTTCATTTGTATTAATAAATTTTAGGATCATTTACATTTAAGTAATTGTATTAGATTTTGTACCTAATATCACATTGCTAGGATTATATGTATAATTTTTACATATTTATAATAACAAATAAAATGTTATTTTATTTCAGTCAAATTGTTTTTATTATATTCTGTCTACATTTTCAAATGAAGGTTTGTATTGAAAAAAAATAAAATTGCTGAATCATAAAATCATGACAGCGTCAAGCTTATAGTGGGACCCTGAAATTTACATAAACAGGGTCCCAAACTGCAGTTAAAAGTCGCTTATTCCTATAAAAAATTCACTACAAATTAGGTTACTGCAGCAAAATCCTTATTACTTATTGCAAATCCTGCATTTTTTCCTAGGCCCCTTTACACAAGTACAGTATGATCGAATAAAAACGGCGTCAGCGATGGCTATGAAATGACAATCGATGACATTTCCCATATAAAATGACAGCGATCTTCATTTCATAGCCATCGCTGAGGCCGTTTTTATTCGATCATACGGTATAATACCGTATGATCGAAAAAAAAACGGCGTCCAGTTGGCTGGGAAACGACGATCGATGACTTTCCCATATAAATTTACATATAAAATGACAGCGATCTTCATTTCAAAGCCAACGCTGACGCCGTTCTTTCTCGATCATACGGTATCATACTGCCACAAAACCCACCTTGTCCGAATTATTTTTGTGATTATTCTCTTTGAAAATTAAATATTAATGTTTATTTCTAGAAAAACGAGATACAAAACAATGACTCAACTCAATGAACACTTTTTTTTGTAAAATAACGCTTTAAACATTTGAATCAATTGGCATGATTTTTCGTATTATTTTTACACATTATTTATTTTGTCACTACTAAATCTTACTTTTTTCAAATAAATACTGTTAAAAAACGAAATACGCTCCTGTCACGATTCACACGTATCTGAGTTCGACCCTGGCTCGTTTAAAGCCATCAACTAATGATCAGCTGTGCGGCGCGCAGGAGGATGAAATCTGTGCGCGAGGAACGGAATTCTTACAACACACTTGAAAAGCACCGACGTTCAGTGAAATTTCTGATTTGTATCTGTTCTGTGGTACAACGCTCCCGTTTTTAGCGCACGTTCAGCTTTGGTTTTAGTTTTAATGCTATTTTTAGAGAAAATAAATTCTGAACTTTGATCAAATGACAAGAACATTATCATTGCCGATATCTCCTGGTTATAATGTAGTTCTTTTTTCAAAATATTGCATTGTTTTAGCTTAAAAAAAATTGAATTATGCGGCTTTTTTGCGAGAGCTACCGGCGCTGCGTTAATAAAGAGATGGCTATGTACGTCAATCGAAAGACAGTATTTGCGATAGTCTTTTGTTTACACGGAGTATAGAAAATTTTTTCCACAGCTTGTTTACTACCAGTAGTATTTGTGCGTTTTTTTAAATTATTTATTATTAAATAGAGGGAAATGCGATCGAAAACAAAGGTCAAAAGTTAGTAGAAATCCGGATAAATGGAAGTGCAATATTTCCAAAAAATCTCGTGACGAGGTAAAATTACAATCTATTGTGGCTATGATTGACGTACATAACCATCTCTTTATTAACGCAGCTCCGGTAGCTCTCGCAAAAAAAGCCGCATAATTCAAGTTTTTTTTATAAACAATGCAATATTTTGAAAAAAGAACTACATTATAACCAGGAGATATCGGCAATGATAATGTTCTTGTCATTTGATCAAAGTTGAGAATTTATTTTCTGTAAAAATAGTGCTAAAACTAAACACAAAGCTGAACGTGCGCTAAAAACGGCGAGCGTTGTACTAACCATTTTTTTATTTATACTCGTTATTACTGCTAGCATAAACCGATAGACCTAAATTTTGAATATGTTGTAACTAAATGTATAACTAATTAAATGATAGTATTCATATCTGTCAGTTTTAAAATTTATAACAGAGATTTTTATCTCAAAGTTATAATATGCTCGGGCAATGTAAACAAATCGAAAATATAAAAAATAATCCAGTTATTTCGGCTTGTCGGAAGCGCTAAAGACTCATGAGTATTATAGACTCATACTACGCAAAAATCAACACGCTACGATAATTATTAACGAAATGACGGCAAGTTTAAAATTACTTATTTTGTTAAATCGGCGCGTCGCTGTCTCACTTGCCTACTGGGCTGCCCGCAGCCACGCGCTAAGGTCGTTGTGCAATCCGGACGCTCAATTATAATTTGCTATGCTATTTTAATTATCTTCTCTAGAATAATTATATTCAATAATGAGCGAGCCAGTAGTAACAGTGAAGCAAGGCCAAATAAAGGGCCATATAAGGCAAACGTTTGATGGAGAGAATTTTTATGAATTCCTTGGAATACCGTATGCCAAGCCGCCAATTGGATCACTGAGATTTAAGGTAAAACATTACAAACAATAATATAATTAAATATTTAATGGTAATTTTTGGACTTCGGATTTATTTTTTTATAGATCAATAGGAGGAAAACAGTGTTATTTTCTATTCCACACAGAAAAATTGATCTAAATTATTTTAAGTGAGGCAGGCTTAGTAACCGGCTTAATATTTTATTAAAAAAACTGTAACATAGGTACCAAATAATATTCAGGGTGTTTCAAAAAATATGTGCCATCTCTCGTGGGGAGATTCCTCACGTAAAAATAAGATTTATTTTTCATATCAACATAGGTCCGATTCTGCTTTGTTTCGTAGCTACAGGGTGTTTTAGTCTTAGTATTTTTTCGATTTATTATAATTTTCTTCCAAGTACTTTTAGCGTTTCGAATGAAATTTTGAGGGTAAAAATAACAATAAATGCGACTTAGTTTAAAACTAAAAAAGTGTCGACATATTTACCAGAGACGTGCATATGGGTTATCACTGGAGTATTTTTCTAAAAAAAGCATGTGCGCCACTGACTTTTTTTTCTTGTTAGCGAAATAATGTAAGCTGTTTAATGCCGATTAAAAGTTGTCTTTTGATATTTTGTTGATTTCGGCCTCCTTGATCAGATAAACGCAATTTTATTAATTTGCCTTGACCAAGAAGTCTAATATATAGCAACCTTTAAAAAAAATATTATTTCATTAACTTTTGAAACTACTTGAAAAAGTTTTAAATAAGTACTCATTGGTTCCTCATAAAAAATATGAAAAAAAGTTCCCATAAACATGGGTATGGAAACGCATAGTTTTAGAGTTACAGGATGTTAAAACTTTTTAAAATTAGTTTTTTTGTAATTATTTTAAATAAAATTATTTTTTCTTTAACATTGCTGTAGGTTGGACTAATAGCAATAATAACTAATAGTAATTATATTTGATAATAAATTAGGTAAAATATATAATTAATTAATTTTATTTTATTTTAATTTTGTTAATTGTGATTAATAAAAATTGCGTTTATCTCATCAAGGAGGCCCAATTCGACAAAATATCAAGAGATAACTTTTAATTGGCATTAAACGACCTACACAATTTTGATATAAAAAAAAGTAGCAATTTTTAAGAGAGATGAGATGAACTTAGAATTAGTTTTAAAAATACATATTTGTATTTTAGATGTTTTAATAATACGAATTAGTTGAACTTAATAATCATATTTAAGTAATGTGGTTAAGTAAATGGTTCTCAAACTCAAACTATGGGGTGAGAAAATTAAATTGAAAGTTTTACACGTGCCAATTTAAAAAAAAAAGTTAACAATGTTTGTTTTTTGTTTATGCTAATTCTCTTACATGTAGTTTTTTGCGAAGAAATATTTCATTTATTTTTTAAAGTAAATGCCAGTAAAAGTAAATATTATTTTTAAATACTAATATAAAGTACCTAATATAAATAATTTTAATTTCTAATTTTTTATTTATATTTTCCTTCCATTACACTGCATGCTTAGAAAATTGATAAATGTTTATATTTCATGATTTTAAAGTTTGTTGTTAGTACAACAAATTAGTTCTGTAATTATTATTATTTAATAAACCAACGTTGCCACAACGTTTTTTTTGAAAAATATTCCAGTGATAACGCATATGCACGTCCATGGTAAATTTATCGACACTTTCTTGGCATTACCTAAAATATGTAGCTCTTATAGTAACTTTTACACCCAAAATTCCATACGAATCACTTCAATCAAGATTATTTAGATTTTAACACCCTGTAGCTACGAAACAAAGCAGAATCGAACCTATGTTGATATTAAAAATAAATGTTATTTTTACGTGAGGAATCTCCCCACGAGAGATGGCACATGTTTTTTAAAACACCCTGTAGATATTACGAAAAAACAAATTTCGGCTATTTTAAAAATGCCCCCTATTTTCATTATAATCGATTTTAGACACAAAGTTTCAGATAAAAGTTGAAGAGAATCATCCTTGCACAGAGCATACACTGTAAGAATATTTTTTCAGAAATTATAAACTGTAACCCTAAATAAAATAGAAAGATAACTAATATTTTATTTTTATTACGATCACATGGAAAATAGAATGCACGATACAATTTATTTAATTTTAGGCTCCTCAACCTCCTGAATGCTGGACTGGTGTTAGGGATGGTACCAAAGAAGGAAACTTTGCTTATTGTTTGGACTATTTCAGTGGCAAAATCTGTGGATCTGAAGATTGCCTATTTTTGAACGTCTTTATAAAACAGGTAAAAATATTATATTTGGGTTTGGTGAATACAAATATTTGGGTATGGAAATCACAAATGATGGACTGTTAGCAATCACAAATGATGGACTGACAGCAATTAAAGACCGAAACTAATTTGGAAGGAATGTTATCACGGTATTAAATGGGATACTGTGGAACAGAAGCATAAACAACAGGAACAAAACATTAATATATAATACCATCATCAAGAGTATAACAACATACAGTTGTGAAGTGTGGTCAATTAAGGAAATAACAAAATGACTGCTGGAAGCTACAGAGATGGATTTTTGGAGAAGAGTAGCAGGCAAATCAAGACTCGAACGAATAACTAATGAACACATAAGAGAGATTATGGAAGTTAAACAGGCAACTCATATGGTACGGGCATGTCCAAAGAATGGCGGAAATAAGAATCCCAAAGCAAATCATAAACTGGAAACAGGAAGAAGAAAACAGGGTAGACCGAAAAGTTGGCAGGAAGGAATTGCCAAGTTTATGGAAGAAAGAGCTCCCGGAGATGGTGCATGGAGAGACAGACAGGCATGGAGAGATGGCATCGGAAGACGTAGAACGTTTTAAACCGATTAAGGGTGGCTGCAACAGGGGTGGATGGGGAAGTGGAAACCGGCCCGGGAAAACAGGCAACCGACCCAAATCCACAAAAACAAAATGACCATAACGAAGAAACATATTTTATTTATTAATATATCTATCAAAATAAAAACACTAAATCACCACAATACACCAAAACACTTTTACTTTTACACTGGACGCGCGTTTCGCTAACCATGTTAGCATCATCAGCAGATGATTATAAACTAAAGTACAATCTACAAGTTGAGCGTTTATATACACGCTCAGTGGGCAACGAGTGGGCGTGGCAAAATCTAGCCAACCGAGTCAGAGCCAACTGAGCGTAACAGTTAGATTTCCGCCACTAGAGTAGTAGGAACAAAGAACTTGAAGGAATTGGACCGTTGACTCTGTTCATACTATCTTTACATTTATTAATTCTGATGCTTTCATATGCATCTAATTGCCTGTAATTTGAGACTTGTTTAATTAATTTTAAATTATTAAGATCTATACAATGTTCATTATCAACAATATGTTCGGCAACGCAAGATTTATCCGGTCTACCGTATCTTATCTGAGCTAAATCTCCAGGCAATTATTAGTATAAGTATTAGTATATTGTATTAGTTCTAATAACTAATACAATTTTTTGATATCTATAGGAAAAATACGACCACACGCAGATATATTCCTAATGAATCACATCATAGTGTTGAACATAAATTGGCTAGTTTAAATTTCTTAGTTCATAGATTACTTAGTTTCCCACTTTCCAACGAAAGATATGAAATAGAAAGAGATTACATTAGGAATGTAGCTGTGTGTAATGGATATTCTCCTTCACTAGTTGATAAATTAATTAGAAAACGTAGGTATAGGTTAATGATTTCTGAAAATTCGACTTTTCAAGTGGAGAAAGACACGTCTAAATATTTTTCGATGCCGTTTGATAGAGAGTTATCCCGTGGTCTAAAAGGAATTTTGAAGAATGTAAATTATAAACTTGTGTATAGTGCTAATAATAAATTACAACAATTATTAGGTAATCCAAAGGATAAAACACCTCCACTGGAAAGGTCGGGTATTTATGAAATTTCTTGTAAAGATTGTAATCAGAAATATGTTGGGCAAACTAGAAAATCAATATTAACTAGATTTAAAGAACATTTAGCTCAGATAAGATATGGTAAACCGGATAAATCTTGCGTTGCCGAACATATTGTTCATAAAGAACATTGTATAGATCTTAATAATTTAAAATTAATTAAACAAGTCTCAAATTACAGGCAATTAGATGCATATGAAAGCATCAGAATTAATAAATGTAAAGATAGTATGAACAGAGACAACGGTCCAATTCCTTCAAGTTCTTTTTCCTACTACTCTAGTGGCGGAAATCTAACTGTTACGCTCAGTTGGCTCTGACTCGGTTGGCTAGATTTTGCCACGCCCACTCGTTGCCCACTGAGCGTGTATATAAACGCTCAACTTGTAGATTGTACTTTAGTTTATAATCATCTGCTGATGATGCTAACATGGTTAGCGAAACGCGCGTCCAGTGTAAAAGTAAAAGTGTTTTGGTGTATTGTGGTGATTTAGTGTTTTTATTTTGCTGTGTAACACCAAAGGTTCCAACCCTCAACTGTAATATATCTATATAAGTAAAGGTGTTTTTCGCTCGTGCGAAAAAGCTCTTTTGCCTCCGGTTTTAAAAAAATTAAATTGTCTTGATTAAAATTTTCGTAAAGACCAATACTGGGTCGGACATCTGAATTTTTACTACAAAATGGCTCAGGTTTACAGGGTTCTACTGCTTTATTTCCATTGTCGATAACAGTAATTTGATCTTGACGAATAGGCTACGATTTTGAGAAACTTTATGACTTCCTGATTCATTCAATTCAGCTGACCCAATCCTCTGTGAAATACATTACTTTTAGCTTTTCGGGTATATACTTTCTTACACATTAGAAAGAAATTCTCTCTTTTCTGCTACAGCAGCAGCGTCGTCGTGTATACGTGTTTTTAACTGAATGAACCGCGGTCGTCATTGAAACTGCAGCATGTTTTAGGTTATTATATAGTTCTTATCACGAAACTTTTCCTCTATACTTTTCTACATTTGGCATCTTGTATGATAATGCCATAACTCAAACGAAAAAAAACCAAGGCAATACCTAGGCAGTGGATATAAATGTGTTTTGATGTAATGCTATGTTACAGTTACATAATAAGAATATTTGTATTTTCGAAACATATTAATATTTTATTATCTAATCTAATTTAAATCTTATTTAACTCTTCTCTGCGTTCTCAGTAATTTTTAGCAAATTCATTTTAGCAACATTTTAAACAACAATTTAGACTTGGCTTTTAGTCCGTCCTCAATTCAAACCAAGCATAGATATGTTTTCTCCATCTCCATCAACCGCAGAGTTCGCGTCAAATTCGTCATTCTCTTTAAAAAGGGGAGCTCGAAAAATATTGCACCGAGGCCCCAAGTTGTCAGTCTACGCTACCGTATTCTTAGTATACATTTAGGTCGAGACTATTTAAATTTACCTAGTGCTATTCATTCTATTTTCTGCTGCCAGTCAGTCATATTTAATAGTTATTAGTAAAGGAATAGTGGGTAAAACTATACAGGGTGAGTCTTAAATAAGTGCAAATATTTTCAGGGGTGGTATATTTCAACCCCAGGAACACGTCTATGAGGGTTTTTTTTTTGCAAAAAAAGATGTTAAAAATCGAGCATTTTCTTTTAAATTTTCCTGTATATTTTAGAAAACTTTTAAGAACTTCCTGTTCGCTGCAAATTTTCCCACGGTATAGTTTCTTAATCTCTGATATTACGGCACTAAAAGAGATGCAAATACCGAAAAATTGAAGTGGCTTAAATTTTTTTAAAAATAAACCTATTTTTTTTTATTTCTAAACTTTAATAACTCGACTGGACATATTTGAAACTCGGTAAAGAGAATATATTATGCTTATTTTATTGAGATCTACCAGCCCTGAAAATATTGGCACTTATAGACTCACCTTGTATAATAAAAATTTCCAAAGCGAACAAACAACAGATGATTATTAAAATTATAAGTGTCCCAGAGAAAGACATTTTACAATAGTTATTTTTTTTAGAATTTTAGAATTTAGAATGAGTGGGAAGGGGGTTAATCACTTCGACCTTACAGATCCATTGTGTCCCCCTTTCTTGAATCATAACTCATCGTACAGTCCCAGGGCTTTGACAAAAGCCAGTATCTGGGACGGTTTTATAGAGGGTAGTTCTCCATCTCCAATATCAGTCGTACCAAAATTCATGGCACGAATGGTTGTCGTCTCGGCGCACTCAGTGATGAGGTGTACTTGTGTTTCACCATCTTCCCCACAGAATCTGCATTCGCCGTTTCTTCTTAGTTTCAATCTACTGAGGTGTTCATTGAGGAGACAGTGTCCTGTTAAAAACCCCGTGACAATCCGAAGATTGTTCTTACTCAGACCCAGGAAGATCTGTGATTTTTCTTGATCATAAGCCCTCAGAAACTTCTTCGAGTGTCTTAGACCATTGCAAGATTTCCATTCCAGGTTGCGAATAGAATCTTCCAAGTTCTTGAGTTCCGCCTTGAGTTGGTTACCACTTGGAAATCAGAACGGTTCTGGTCCAGTTAGTGGAGTGTTCGCTCCTTTCCTAGCTAGATTATTTGCTTTTTCATTGCCTTCTATCCCTTGGTGAGCAGGCACCCAGTGTAGGAGGTTGTGTTTTCTTTGCCTAATTTATTCAGCTTCTCTATGCATTCCTTGACCAATCTCGAATTGATTGACACTGAGTTGATCGCCTTTAACGCTGCTTGACTATCAGATAAGATGGCTATTTCTTGTTTCCGATAGTTCCTATCTAAGATAAGTTGTACGCATCTCTCGATAGCGTAGATTTCTGCCTGTAGGATACTAGGGTAAGTGCCCATTGGTTCGGAGTAATTAGCTCTCGGCCCAAACACTCCGATCCCTGTTCCCGTATTGGTTTTTGAAGCATCAGTATACCAAGTTATGGTATGGTCTTTTAACTGCTGGGCAAGCGTTTCGCTCTTCCAATCCTTCTTATTGCTCAATACTACATTGACATGTTTGTTAAAGTTGTACGTTCTTGGCATATCGTCCACTGGGAGTTGCAGGAGTAATAGTTATTTTACAAATTGGTGTTTATGTTTAAAAGCAACAGACGATTATAGGTCTGTTCCCAGAAGAATCCCTGACTAGTCAGCACGTTTCTCATTGGTTAAGATGCGTAAAAACCTGATTGTTAGTCAGGTTTCTACGCATTTCAACCAATAAGAAACGCGCTGACTAGCCAGAGATTCTTCTGGGAACAGACCTTATACTGACGCAAATCGATTAGTTAGTTATGATGTCACTAAGGATCTTACGTCACATTAGTTAGAAGATTAACCATTTAATTTTTGCTAATCCAATCTTTTTTTGAGCTCTGATCGGGACCGGCCCACCGGCCCATCTTTCCACCGGCCCACCGGGAATTTTCCCATTTTCCCATATGGCCCATCCACCCCTGGGCTGCAACGACCTTCCGTAATCCTACTGTTAACGGTTTTTATATATAAAAACCAATTATTTTGTTTTAACAGCAGGATGACCGGGCGTCGTATCGTTGCAGCCACACTAATATATGTATTTTAATGAAATATAGAAAAACCAAATCAAATTTTATCAAAAATTAACCTAGTGTAATCCAGCGCCAGCGTCTCGAAAAAGCTTAATAATACCGAGAATAGTACATTACCTAGTTGAGATTTTAACATTGAAAATGTTTCTGTTATCCTATATAAGGGAGCCCAAATCGAATTAAAATGCTACATTTGCCACACCATGACGTCATACATACAAGGGTATAGGAAATCTCGGCGCAGCGGCGGCAGTCGGCCAGCGCGCGCAAAAACCATTACATCGCTAATTGTTTATTGATATATCTTTATTAGTTTAAAAGCAAAAAATAAGGGGTTTGCTTTGATACCTTGTCAAGACATAAGCGAAACTTTTAAATTGTTTCTTTTTTTCATTTAGGCCTTCGTTTTTCGTTAAATGAAAGTTATATTAAAAAAAAATCTATTTTTAAACCAAATTTTCGCATGATTGAAATGATTATTCATGAAACTTTTAGAAAACAAGCATGTAATTTATATAATTGTAATATATTCCAGTTAAATGTAATATGTTACTTTATTAATTTAAAAAATATATTAAAAACATATAAAGCTATTAATTGAAATTTTTAGTATGCGAACAATCACAAGAGGCGCTTTATTTACTTTCATTTCTTAACACTATACAGGATGAAGTTCTAAAGGGGGATGGTTTTGTGATCATAGTTCTATCGACGCTTAAATATATAATAGTTCTAAAAGCCTAAAAGACTAAAAGGCTTGATTAGTTATCTTTCTCCATTTGTTTCTATATTTCGCCTTTATTTCATTATCATACTAGGAACTCTTGCTTGAGCCATTCTTTCAAAGTGTCCTAGCCATCTCAGTCTTTGTGCCCTCGCTACTCCCGTTATACTCGGTGCCCGATATAGTTGCTTTAATTCTTCATTTGTTCTTCTGGTCCATATGTTGTCTACCTTCTTTCCTCCAAAAATCTTCCTCAGTATTTTTCATTCCCAAATCTCTAGCCTCGAACTTTCTGCTGCATTGAAGACATGTATAGTCACTATTATTGGTTGTATCATTGTTTGGTACATTCTGATTTTTAAACTTCTAGAGATGTTCCTACTGTTAATAATTTTCTATAGCGCGCTAACACATCTATTTTCTGCCATTATTGTTGCCACAATTTGTTGACTTGATTAGGTAAAAACATCTATATGCTCACTAGCTCTCTATAAAGAAGTAAAAAATCATTTAAATCAATGCATAAACGATCGAGGTGTGACGTATGAACTTAGTCGCTAACACATCTATTTTCTGCCATTATTGTTGCCACAATTTGTTGACTTGATTAGGTAAAAACATCTATATGCTCACTAGCTCTCTATAAAGAAGTAAAAAATCATTTAAATCAATGCATAAACGATTGAAGGTGTGACGCGAACGTAGTCGCGAGAAAAAGCTATTAATTTATTAAATTATTTTATTTAACTCATTAATTTTCATTGAAAAGGAATTTTTGTAATTCGCCACTATATTAGTTAAAAACTAAGAAACTCATATCAAATTTAAGTTTTGCGATTTTGACTTATACTTTTTACAAAATCTGAACACATTTTAAAAGAAAAAAAGTTTGGTTTGGTGTAGTAATAACATTTGTGTAGATTGACTACAAGTTGTATAACATAAATTTCTACGACCGGTCTACCTAGTGGTCTGCAGCATCGCCTTGTGGTGCAAACGTGGGCCTGTTAATCTGTGAGGTGACGCACAAGAGCCAAGAAAAACAGAAGCGTGGCTAAGAATTTAGTAATTAAAAAAAAGTCTTTTAGATACAGTAGTAGGTATTAAAAAGTTTTGTGTTTAAATGGGGTTTGCCTTTAACAGTTAAAAAATTATATCGTAAAGTGTAACTTTCCGTAAGAATTCTTTATCTGTCATTGATCATGATCTGTCATCATGTTAACCTGATGTTTTGTATGTTATTTTGTTTTTTTTTCGAGGTTTTTTTGCTTGCTTGTTTTACGGATAGGTGCGATCGCATAATTATTATTGATAATGTTATATTTAATGCTAACATTACTACTTTTTCAGTGAATCTTTAAATCTGTTGCTTTTTGTTAAGTTCGTTATTTAAACATATGTATGTAATACACTCATATTAACACTAATCATATTTTTACGTTTTTATTCATCATTTTCAATGCCCCCCCGGTTGCATCTTTGTAAAGGACTGTGAATTTTTAGAATCCAAATCTTTTTATTTTTGCAAATTGTATGGCAGTTTATAGTGAGTTTTTATTATATACAGAAAATTGTAGTTTTTTGAGTGAAATCATGTGAAATGCTGTTTTTTTCGATTAGTTGTTTTATCATACATTAACAAATTATGCTTCACAAATTTTGATATTATTATTTTTGTTTATCTGAAAATAAGAATTGTTTATAGCTACCCCAATCAGGATGCACGTTGAAACCAGTTATGGTATACATTCACGGAGGTGGTTTTATAGGAGGATCTTCTGCCTTATCACTGACTGGACCTAAACTGATATTAAACGAAGATGTTGTTTTAGTTACTTTGAATTATCGATTAGGAGCTTTAGGTAATATAAAATAGTTAATAAAGTAGTTTATAGTACCTAGATCAAAAAGAAAATTCTGAAGTTTTTTAATTTATACAGGGTTATTCACAACATACGACAAAAAAAAATACGGAGCATTGTAGCTAAACGATAAGATTTTTACAAATTGTAAGTTTTGGGTTGTATTGTATTGACTAAGAGTGGGTCCCATGGGACCCTCCACTGCGGTCGCGAGGGCCTATTGTGGCTCAGTTTCTACAAGCTCTAATATACAAGAGCGTCAAAGTTCACCCTCAAGACCCAGCCTTTTAATATAGGCCGTTATGTCTGAGGGCGATATGTCTTCTAGGTCTGATAGGTCTAGCATGGGTTTGTCAAACATCTCAAACCTGGTCCTGCCCCCAGCGGGACAGGTACACATAACGTGCTTCATTGTTTCGTCATCTTTCATACAGAGTTGGCATTCGGCGTCTTCCACCAGTCTCATCCTCTGTAGGTGAGATCTCAGCCGGCAGTGGCCCGTGTACACTAAGCGAGCGTACGCGCTCAATTCCTACCGGCCTTTAGGAGTTCTCCTGTTCTATGTTTGGATGGCCCTGCTAGGATTTTCTTGGCATGTTCCATTCCGGGACTGTCATTCCAGTCCCGGAACGTCGCACCCCTAACCCTTTCACAGAGCCTGTCTCTTGCGAGATTTTTAGGAACGCTAAGTGTCGGTTCTGGGCCCACGAATGGCGAGCCTGCACCAATTTTGGCGAGGGAATCAGCACGTTCATTTCCCTCTAGGCCGACATGTCCCGGTATCCATATTAGCGACACTTTGTTTCTATCTCCCAGTATATTGAGTAGTTTCTTACAATGAAGAATCGTCATTGACGTGCTTTTCGTTGCCTCAAGTGCTTTCAGCGCGGCTTGACTATCCGAAAATATGCATATTGTTTTCCCGGTGTATTGCTGTTCTACCAGCATTTGCACACAGGTTTCAATAGCATATAGCTCAGCTTGGAAAATCGTGGTGTGTTTTCCAAGACTGTGGTAGATCTCAGTCTTTGGACTGCTGCAGTAAATTCCTGCGCCAGATCCTTTTTCGTTTTTGGATCCGTCCGTGTACCAACACATTTCCGCATGTAATAAACCGTTTCCCGGCTTATCCCACTCGTCCCTATTCGGAAACAGGACGTTGTAGGTGCGCGTCAAGAGTTGGACTGGTGGTGTGAGATCCGAGACCATTCCCAGAATCGCATCCGACTGTAGTTCTTCTACTAGCCGGTTTTGTATGAACATGATCCTTGGCTTCCTTGGTTGGTTCCTTGGCTTACTCGTGCTATATTTAGAAACCTATATATAGCCCCTCTTTCCAAAAGAATTTGAAGAGGAGGTAGGTCGAGTAGGGTTTCCATAGCTTTTGACGGCGTGTTATGGAAGGCACCAGTCACCGCTAAGCATGCTTGTCGTTGTAGTTTCGACAATTTATTCTTTGCCGTTGTTTGGTTGGCTTTCTGCCACCAGGCAACTGCACCATACGTGATAATAGGTCTGATGGCCGTCACGTATAGCCAGTACATATTTTTGGGGTTTAATCCCCAGTTTCTACCACAAATTCGGCGGCATGCCCATAGAGCATAGCAAGCCTTTTTTGATGTTTTTTCCAGATGAGAGGTCCAGCTAAGTTTTTTGTCCAGGTTTAATCCCAGATACTTAACTTCCTCCGCAAACGGAATTGTCTCACCAAGAAGAATGGGCGGTTTCAGTTTGTCTGTTTTCCTTCTTCTGGTGAATGGTATGATCACGGTTTTCTGTGGGTTTACACTTAATTGTTCCAGTGTGCACCAGCCGTGAATTGCATCTAGGATTTCCTGTATTTTTGAGGAGATGTCCTCCTCTTTGTGTCCTTTTACTAGGATCACCAGGTCGTCCGCATATGCCTGTGCTTCAACCTCGTATGCATCGATGATTGCCATCAGGTCGTCCGCTAACAGGGTCCACAGAAGAGGAGAGAGAACTCCTCCTTGCGGGCATCCCCTGCCCGGAACAAACCTAACGGACTCACCACTGAGCGAGGTCGTTGCTACTCGATTTTTGAGCATTTGCTCAATCCATTCAGTTATGGTAGCTTCGACTCCTCGTGCTTTCACAGCGCCTAGGAGCGATTGAGGGGTGACATTGTTGAATGCTCCCTCAATATCTAGGAATATCCCTACCGCAATTTCTTTGCGATCAAAGGTACTCTTAATTTCCCCTACCAAATTGTTGAGGGCCAGTTCTGTTGATTTTCCCTGTTGATAAGCATATTGTCGGACATTCAGGGGATTAGACGTAAGAATCCTCCCCCTAATGTGTCCATCCAATATCTTCTCCAGAGTCTTCAGCAGAAATGATGTAAGGCTTATTGGTCGATATGAGCCAGGTTGTAGGTTTTGTTTCCCCACTTTCGGTATGTATACCACCTTTGCTCTCGTCCAGTCAGCTGGCAGGTGTGACCATGCCAGACTTGCCCTAAAAATTCTTAATAAGCGAGGGACGATAATGTTCTCAGCCTTCTGCAATAAGGCCGGAAACACCCCGTCCTCTCCTGGAGATTTAAATGGGTCGAAACTTTCGATCACCCCTTTAGTCTCCCTATAGGTGATTACTTTCTTCGCCATCTCCCAATCCTCTTCTTGGGCCGATTTTTACGACGCATGAGTATCGGGGGGGGGGGAGCTCTTCATCACCTAGTATCAAGCAGCCTGGGAAGTGTTTTTGGGCCAAAATCTCTAGCGTTTCTTTCCTGGACTCTGTGAAATTACCGTCGGGGCGCTCTATCGTCCCTAGCTCATTCACTGGTTCTTTTGAGAGAATATTGTGAATTCTGGTTCTTTGAGGTAGATCGACCAGACTCCCACAGAATCTTCTCCAAGACTGTCTCTTCGCCATTCTTATTTCCTTATTGTACTCCGTCAACGTCGTACGATAAGTTTCCCAGTTACCTGACACTTTAGCGCGGTTAAAAAGCTGCCGCACTTCTTTTCTTCTTTTGTCCAGTTTGTTGTTCCACCAAGAGGACTTCCTATTATCCTTCTTTGTTTTAGGTGGACAGTTTTCACTATAAGCTGTTATAATTGCACACCGCAGTTGTTCCGCACTGTGCACGTGTGTGTTGTGGGTTCCAGCAGATGCACGAGTGAGCGGTTGTATCCTTCCCAATCTGTGCACTTAGGATCTCTATATTGCAGGAGAGTTCTTTCACCTACGCTTATTTCAAACTGTATGTGTCTGTGATCCGAGCACGATGGCTCAGATGATACCCTCCAGTTGGATATCCTGTTGCTCAAATAATTAGAGCTGACCGTAATGTCTAAAACCTCTTTCCTGTTACAAGTAATAAAAGTTAGTTTGGAGCCTATATGCCACTATTAACTACTAACCCTTCACCTATTAAGTAATTAAGAATTAACTCACCTCTGAAGTTGGTGTCCGTGCTTCCCCATGCCTCTTTGTGGCCGTTGGCGTCGCATCCTATCACCAGCTGTAGGTTTTTCCTCTTGCAGAAGGAGATTAGTTCTCTCACTTTCTTTGGAGGAGGTAAATCCACTGTCTTGTCTCCAGGGAAATATGCTGAGCAGGTAATGAACTCCATTCCTCCACCGCTCCTCCTCGCTGGGATCTTGATATGTACCGCCACCACATCCTGACAGCAGAACCTATAAAGGTTAAAAGAGTGCACGCTCTTTTTTACTAAAATGCATGCCCTAGGTCTGGTTACTCCAGTGGCAGTAATTAGCCTACCCTCTGCGTCCTCAAGGCCACATACGAGGCCTGAGTTAACCCAAGGTTCTTGAATGAAGGCGAGATGCACGTCTTCCTTCTTGAACCTTCTGCCAAGGACGTTAGAAGCGGCCTTGGCATGTTGCAGGTTAATTTGTATACATTTAACTGCTGCAGCCATCCCTGCAGCAGTGAAATTTAGGTTTTGTTCCCACCATCAGGTGGCCTTCGCCCCCTTTTGGTGGGAAACCTACCTTCGCTTCGCCTGCCTTTCCGGGTGGGTTTGTTCCCACCCGAGTTGCCAGGCTTCTCCGACTTTCCGGAGGGTTTAGCTTTAGGCCCTTTCATGGCCGGGTTTTTCCGTGCCACTCCACTGCCTCTAGCTTTCTCCTCCTGGGTGTTACTAGACCTTGCGGTGTCAGTTTTTCCTCTGGAGGCTGTTGGATTGTTCCCACCATCTCCCGAGGTTGACGCCTTGGTCTGCTCCGTATTGGCCTCGTTCTCCTTATCTCTGGGTTGGAAGGTAATCTGCCCGAACCCAAAGTAGGCCCTGAATCCATTGCGGCGAAGGAGATCCATGGATCTTTTCTTCATCCCGTCCCCTTACTGCCCTGAGTTCCATGCCCTGCCATGGCGAAAAGTCGTTGACCATCCTTTCTAACCACGCAGCGCTGGTCTCGTCGGTACAGACCACAAGTAGCCATCCAGGCCGAATCGAGCAGCCTTGGAAGCGTACTTGTAGCCCCTCCTCAGTAATTGCATCCACTGCCTTCAAAATGGCAAGTTTCAGCAACAAGAGTTGCTCGGCGGATAGGGTGTTCTCTGGGTGGTTAGGTCGGATTACTCCAACTCTTATTTCCCCAGCAGCCTCCACGTAGCTTTTTGCGCCCTCCCTACGAGGCTTCTTAGCGCTCTGTTCGGGAGTACTTGCATCCGAGCGGATGCGCTTGCTAGCACTAGGTGCACCAGTGTGAGGTTTGTTCTCCTCCGAGTTGATTTGTATCCCCCCGGAAGAGGTTCCCCCACTCATCTGTGCCCTCTGTTTCTCCGCTTGCCGCTGCAGAATCGACTGCAAAGCGGTCTCATAGGGCATTCCGCCCTTGAGAAGTCTTGAGAGGAGCTTTCTTGACGCCCCTCCAAACCTTTTCTTTTTCAGGGACAATTTCTCCATTTGCTTGGAGATCCCGAAAGGAGGTTCACCATCTGCCTTCTTAGGCGAAGGGATCTTGGCCCCTCTCTTTCCTGATCCGGCTGAGGTGAGTTGCTTGGGGTAGGAATAGTCCCACGCTCCTTTGTTTCCTCCTCCTTGGGAGAAGGATCGGGACGGTTTAATCCATCCTCGTCATTAAGGTTTTTGTTATTTTCTTGGTCCATATAATGATCCCACGAGTAGCAAGGGAAGAAACGACGATCACGGCAGAGCCCCGCAGTACCGTGACTAGGCATTTATGAACTGGGAGGTCGCCCGGTATCCCAGGTTAGTCGCTAGTGGTCAGGATTCCCCCTGATCATCCATCACTTTGGCGCGCACTATACCGTAGGATTTGGGGAGGTTTTTATAGTGGTACCTCATCCACGTGGCTCAGAGTAAAGCCAAAGCCCCCATGTCTCTCCTAGGAAAGACTTACGGTATGACGGATGTTAAGTCCCGAAGGAGGTCCCGTCCGGCATCGTTTTATGTCTTGGTGCAGTTCCCTGGCCACGACACTACAGCCAGGGACAAGACATTGAGATGCTCCTTAGACTTAGCCAGAGCGCAGGAGGGGTCCCCTCGGGTGCCCTGGCCGGGAGCTTCCCCACCAACGTCAAGGTCTCGCATCTAATAGGGGAAGAAGTTTTGGGTTCGTTGAAGGACTATTAGAGCTAAAATTTAAAAATTTACAAGACAACTTACAAAATTCAGAGTGCCTATAAAAATAGTACCCAAATAATTAAAAAATATCAAAGTTGTATTTTTCCGTGTCATATGTGGTGAATTAAACCTGTATATTAAAAAAATTAAAAAAAGTCAGGTTAGTTACGCTATTTATACAGGATGAGTCTTAAATAAGTGCAAATATTTTTAGGGCTAGGGTAGATTTCGATAAAAGAAACATATTTTCTCTTTACCGTTTTTCAAATAAATCTAAAATAACCGAGATATTTTACTTTGAAAAAATTTTTAACTAAAAAAATTTCCAAAAATTCTAAATTTTTATTTTTTTGCAAAAAAACCTCATAATCGTGTTTCTGGGGTCGAAATATACTACCCCTAAAATATTTGCGCTTATTTAAAACTCACCTTGTATATTACAAGAGCGCCTGGAATGATTTTAATATTCAAAAATTCACGAAAAATCACGAAAAATGTTCTATAGAAAATTAATTTTTAAATAAATTAGGGTTAGAACGATTTCCGAATATGCAGCCGGGTCAGCCGGTAATTTTATATAAAAAACTTTAGCAAATAGGCCTATATGACAAATATTTTTTTCTGTTATGTTTTGTTGTTCGGTATCGGTCATAAATAAAATATTATTTTATATATTGATTGACGTTTCGATTTATTCTTCCAATTCAAAAAAAAGAATCCAAAATAATTTTATAAATATTTCAATTGATTTTTACTTATGACACAAATAGAATTATTATATTATTAATTAATAACCAAAAACATCGGGATAAAAAAAATATAAAAAGATAAAACTATTACAAAAAAGAATTAAGTTAAAAAACACACCTTATCTTTTTTCTAAGCACTAAAACTATTCACAAAAATTATATTTTCCCTACTATGTATATAATAAAATACAGGCACGAATAGTTTTCTAAAATAAACAATATTTTAGGATTTCTATGCATAGACGATACATCTCTTGATGTCCCTGGGAACGCTGGTTTAAAGGATCAAACAATGGCTTTGAGATGGGTTAAGGAAAATATATCTTACTTTAATGGCGACCCAAATAATGTCACAATATTTGGTGTGAGTGCTGGAGGGGCTGCAGTCCAGTTTCAGGTAGAATTTTGATATTGTATACAGACTTATGGATTTGCGTATTTTTAGTACATTTTAACCGGTTAATCGATAAACCGGTAATGCAATCCTTACACGGACTGCCTTTGCAAACTATTTAGATTGATGTAATAAGCAAAAGTTTTAACATAGCCATTAGTCAAATGATACTTCACTTCTTAAATGATAATTTGAACATAACTAGTGACTCTCTCTACTTGTGTTTGAAAAATATTTTTTTTATTAACTCGGTAAGTGGCTTCTAACTTATTAGCTAACTAAATTACTTCCGGTTACTAGTCGGTGTAGTGAATACCAGTCGCCGTGGGTAGTTATGATCTATCAGGGAAAATGCTTTTACTAATAAGGAAAAAAAAAATGGCAATGTTTTAAAATCTATTATTAAGTGAAAACAACTTAATACAAAGTTACCTTTATTTTTGACCAAAATAAAGAACGAAGGAGAGAAATAACTGTTTCCATTTTCTTTGTCTGGCAAATTGATTTTTTAATTTAGTGACCGTAAAGTTTGTAAGATTTAAGGACATAGGAAATCCCATGTAAATTTTGAAACGGTCAAATATTATCTCCCCAGGTGATTTTATGCAAAAATTGTATTAGACTTCTTTGAAGAGGCATTAAAGTTATACTTTTGTCTAAAGTTTCATTATACAGGGTTGTTCACCACATACGACACGGAGTATTGTAGCTAAACGATTAGATTTTTAGTAGAACTACTCAACTTTACAACTTTTTTAGAACTACAATTTAAAAATATTTTTACAAGATACAGAGTGTTCCAAATAAATAAAAAATATCAAAGTTGATTTTTTTTTAAATGGAACACCCTGTATATTATTACATTTCTAGTTTCTACGATTAAAATAAAGGTAAATTTGATTAAGGTTTATTACACTTAAACCTTACAGTTTTTGAAATATTTTCAATTTTGTAAAATTGCAGTAAAAATTTTAAGGCTTCATTTCTCCGAGGGTATCAAAGTTTTTAATGCTAAATATTTACTGAAGTTAATTTATTGATCAGTTATTGTGTTGCAATAATAAAAATAATACTACCTCATACAGAGTGTCTACAAATTTATTTTAAATAATTTCTAGCTTTAAACGGCAATAACTTTTTTTAACGTTTAATTTAAATAGAATGCCCTGTATATTTTAGGAGAATATGATGCACAATTTAATTGTCTATCGAATTGTATTATACCACTTTTTACCTATCCCTTCAAGTTTTCGTAGAAAATGCATTTTCTTATAATTTAGACCTTATTTATCAAATATATATACCCATGGAATATTGACATTTTAGATTATTTTTAGAGCAACAAATGTACAAAATGTACAGGCTAGTAATATTCTCGTTTTAGCAAAACGATAATATTACTAGCCCATTTGTATGCAAAAAGAAAACTATTTAAATCTTTATAAAAGAGTATACCGTTATTTCCGCCCAAATACTAATTAATTACATACTTAATTGTGTTAGTTAATAAATTATTCTTAATTAATGTGGATTTGAATCAGAAATCAATATAATAAATAAGTTATGAAAATGAACGTCTCTGTTGTTATAAATAAACATTAATTTGACAAAAAATGAAATATCATTTCTAAGTTGTTACTTTTTACCACACTGACTGTCTAATACACATACCAAATTCATTTTTTGGTATTTGGAGCAATTGTTATTAATCAACGCAAACAGTGAATTAATGCAGTTTGAATACTGGAATCATATTAATTGGTCCTCTTTATCAAATATTTAAACAGTTTTTTTTTATTTTTTTAATAAATAAAATAATCGAACTATATCGACAATATTAGTGTCTGTACTCTTTAAAAATGTGGTACATCTTTAAAAATAATCTAAAATGTCAGTATTCGATGGGTATATTGATAAATGAGTTCTGAATTACAAGAAAATGCATTATCTACGGAAACTTGAAGAGATAGGTAAAAAATGGCATAATACAATTTGATAGACAATTAAATTGTGTATCTGATTATCATAAAATATATAGGGTGTTCCATTTAAATTAAACAAGTTATTGCCGTTTAAAGTTAGTAATTATTTAAAATAAATTTTTAGACACTCTGTATAAGGTAGTATAATTTTTATTATTGCAACACAATAACTGATCAATAAATAAACTTCAGTAAATATTTAGCATTAAAAACTTTAATACCCTCCGAGAAAGAAAGCCTTAAAATTTTTACTGCAATTTTACAAAGTTGAAAATATTTTAAAAACGGTAAGGTTTAAGTGTAATAAACCGTAATCAAATTTACCTTTATTTTAATCGTAGAAACTAAAAATCTAATAATATACAGGGTGTTCCATTTAAAAAAATACAACTTTGATATTTTTTATTTATTTGGGACACTCTGTATCTTGTAAATATATTTTTAAATTGTAGCTCTAATAGTCCTTCAACAAACCCAAAACTTACAATTTGTAAAAATCTAATCATTTAGCTACTATACTCCGTATCGTATGTGGTGAACAACCCTGTATTTGTAATAGGCATCTAAAAGTTATTTGCACAAATCTATATGCAAATTATTAAAAATTTATAATATGGTCTAATAGAAAGCTACAATTAAAATACCAGCAAAATATGATTTTGTCATTGTCCAATTCGATGTCACATTTTTTTAGTTTACAAGAATTTATTTGGTTTGGAAAGGATGGTTATTTTTCTCTGAATTTGAATGATTATCTACAAAAGAATTAGTTGAACAGAAAATAGCATTAGCAAAGTATGACTTGATTGCTGTTCTTTACTCGACCATTCGCTCTTACCACATACATCCGCAATAATTTAACAAACAAAAAAAGAAATATTTGTAATTAAAGGAACTTTATTAAGCTCTGCCAATTAATAAAATGTAATCCCGGGTCTTGTGCAGAACAGGTCCCCACGAATTCGAGGTTTTTTTAATTTTTAATGTGGATCCCATAGTTAATGGAATAGTTTAAAAGACAAAAATTGTTGGATGAACCACTTTTTCTAGGAAAAAAAAATAATTAAAAATTCAAAATTTTTACTACATTTCAATGCGAAAACTCCCTATTATAACCTTCGTAAAGCGAGCAAAATACAAAGTTATGCACAGTATTGCCAGACTCACCCTGTGTAAAATCGACGAAAACGTTCGACTTTATATTCGTTTTTTTACAGTTAGTGCGTACTTTAAGAACACGAAAAATTAAAAATATAATAAACGAGGCAAAACAAAAAAAAAACACTATAAAAATAAATTGACATTAAAATTTTTACATAATTTAATAATATTAATTAATTTGTTTCGTGATCTTCAGCTGTATTACAGCTGAAGATCACGAAATTTATGTACCTACATCCAAATCCTCACGTTCGTCATCACCCACTACCATGTACTTCGTCTTCTTTGTGTTTATTGTTAGGCCCCATTTCGAATATGCCTAATACAGTTTTCTAAACATATAACTGGAGTCGTCTCTGTCTCCCGCTATTAAGACCTGGTCATCGGCAAAGAGTAAAGTATATAAAGTGTCTTTTCCTACTGGGATTCCCATTCTACGGCATTTCCAAAAAGTTATTGTTGTTTTCTTCCTGTTAAATTACTTTTGTTTTAGTTTCAAACCTGTGCCTAGTTTATTCTTTAAACTGTTCACTTATTCGGTATAGGCTTTCCGGAGACTGACCTGCGAACAAATCTAACAGAGCGGGCATACTATTTTCATCAAAATGCTGTTTAACCTTCGTAACTTTTAGAAGTTGAGAAAATCTTAATTATTATTTTATACAAAATTACTCAATTTGGTACATTCAAATTTTTCTACACAAAATGACATCGAATTTGACAATGACACAATCAAATTTTTGTTGGTATTTTAATTGTAGCTTCTTTTGCTTTTTTTTGGCCATATTGTAGCGTTTTTTTAAACAACTACCACTGCGAACGGCAGCTTTTCATCGGAGAGCAGTCGTGGATAAGGTATTTCACTGGAAAGAAAACTAATTAATAACAATAAACAAAAAAATAGATATTGGGCGCCAGACATGTACAGAGAAAGAAAACACAGTTGTATAATACTTAAAACTAATGACTATATTTATTCATGACGTTCTTTGCTGATACATGACATTGTAGAGTTCTAGTAAATATATAGTGGTTATATGTCAAAGAAAGTGGTGGTAAGAGTCGTACTAAATATCAATGAAAACAACTACGATAAAATACAGGACATGTAAAGTTTAAGAGAAAATATGAAATGTAGCATTACTTTAATTAAATCGATATATTCCATATGATGCTAAATCGAAGATGTTACAACCTGTAGATTCTAGAATCTATGTTTGATTATCCATCTATTAAAATAGTGCAATAATATCTATAAAAGTAATACCATTACAAGACGTAATGCAATGAAACCTAAGATCTAAATTATATTTTAAAGATTATATCGACATGAATGTTCTTAACAATCTAACCACTGAACATAGTCTGTACGATATTACTTAAGATGTACGTTATTGTTTAAGACTGAAAATATTTTAGATGTTAAATGTAAAACTAGAACTTAAATATACACTTAGCTGTTCTTTTATGTAACCTTGCTTCAAACAGTAGCAGCGTGAGGTGGTCTAGCATCTATGTACTGTCTGTCGGCGATCCTGTTGGTCAAAACAACAAAAGGGGCCAGATTGGGTACACCATGAATCCTTACAGCCGTAGCTACTGACTAGGCTTAGAAATGGGAGTGAAGCAGCATGGGACTCAAGCTACATCCACGCTGTGGCACTTAGATGTAAGAAAAAATCGTTCTTACTGGGGACACTCGTCCACAGGACATCTGTACATAAGATAATGTCTGTACATAAGACACTACCCGTACCTTGGACACAGTCCGTACCTTGGACACAGTCCGTACCTTGGACACAGTCCGTACCTTGGACGCAGTCCGTACCTTCGAAATAGTCCGTACCTTGGACACAGTCCGTACCTTGGACACAGTCCGTACCTTGAATACAGTCCGTACCTTGGACACAGTCCGTACCTTGGACCCACGAAATACTTCCGAGGGCTCAATAAATAATAAACAACATGTCCTTTCTTCCATGTGACATTCTAGAGGACAAAAGAAAAGGGACGCCAACGTGCCAGCAAAACACAAATACAAGTTGGGACATCCGTAACTCTACCCTGTAGCCTCGAAATAGCAGCTGATTCAAATTATACAGCAAGACTTAAATAATCACCATTTCCAAAAGCTGGGATACAACAGAGCGTCAAAACAAAGTGAGGTTAAGCACGGAGACAGTTGACAGAAGCGATGTTGACAGCACCTCCTCAGAGCAATAACAGGGTTGTGTCGAACGATAACAGGGTTGGCGACTAGGGAACGTAAAAATTACGTGTCAAATAAACTATCCGGCCTGAACGAGAGGGAATCCGGTGATGCTAGGCCAGACATCATATATTATATATGAAAAAGACATGTAACGAACTAAAAACGTTACAATATTATAAGTTTCACTAATGTGAAAGTAGATTTTCGCAAATAACTTTTAAATGACTATTCCAAATGAAACGAAATTCTAGACAAAAGTACATCTTTAACGCCTCTTCAAAAAAGTCTAATACAACTTTTTCATAAAATTATCTGGGGAGGTAATACCTATTTAACCTTGACGAAACCCATACAGCACGTCCAAATGAAATTACGTTTCTACAAGGGAGACACATGAGAAACAAAACATGTTAAAGTGAACCTAAGTGTTCATCTAGTTCTAACATATACATATGAGATACACGCAGGTTTATATTGATCGAATTTTGTGATACAGTGTTTATTAGTTTATACACCGTATACACTCAAGATTCTAAAGAGTTTTTTGTAACGTAACAAATAATTATTAAAATGATGAAATCTGACGTCGGTATTTGAGACATACAATGTATAAGTCATATGTATGTGTGATACTTCGTATCATAGTTGTGCCTATAGTACACACCTTATAAAAATGTGACGTATACACATAATATAAATATCTATATAGACACTTTGTAATAGTGTACTGTTGTGTCTACATTCTAGCATGAAATGAAGGTGTGCGCACGCGCGGATAGACTCAGCGTAGATACACCGACCAAGTGTATCTTATGTGTCCTCTCTCCTTTCTCCTTTCTAGGAGTGGTATGTGTTAGCATCCATTATTGTTTTATCATTCGGAAGCTCTATATAAATGTTTAAAAGCACAAGTTTTTAATTACCTTGTTACACCTTCCTAAGAGTATTATTAATATTATAGCGGCGACTCTTCCCTTACTCGATACCCAATTTACCAAATTTTGACTCCAATGAATGAATACTCCAAATATTCTCGTGTAATGATAAAGAGGTTAGCTCTGCAATATATTTTTTTTTTTAATTTGGAAATAATAAAAATCTAAATGGAGCAGAGAAAGAAAGATTTACACTTCAAAGAATACAGTGATATTCGGTAAGTTATTGATGGATCAATATACAGATATGTTTAATATTCAATAATCAGTTTCATCTAGAATTTAAGGGTGATATTGTTAATCTGGAAATAAAATACAATAAAGTCCAACAGAGTGCTCGATGAATGAGTATGCTAACAAACCAACTGTTTGGAGGGAAAAGAGGAGAAAAAAAAATGACTAAACGAAGTCCACCAAATCGTGGCGATATACCAGTGTTTACCATTTTAGTATGTTGTTATACTAGGTACTTATATTTTTAATACATTTTGATACAAATTCTGTTCTTTTACAGTGTTTTCTTACTTCTGGTTTCTGCAGTGTAAATAATAATTATTATTGTGTTATTTGCGCTATTGCGTTCCATGATATAAAGAAATATAAGAATTTTATTTTTTAACCACTTAATCCATTTTATGGAAGAAAAATGGTACATTTAATACAAAACAAAAATGGAACAATTTTAAGGCTACTTCTCTTGAACTTACGATCGAGATACTTTTGGAAAATACAAAGTCTTGCCTTCCTAATTTTCGTTCTAAAAAGATATAATTGGTATCATTGAATAAATATTTCTTAAAAAGAACGAAAAGTTAGGCATCAAAACTTGTATTATTTCCTAAATTCGTTCATAAGAAGTAGTTTTATCTACCACAAGATGTGAGGCGGACGTTTAACCCTTGTGCATACGTGTTGAACTACAATGTGTAAACGTAGCATATTTATATCGGGGGAATTGTGTCACCCTGTGTCTACATCTAAAGGTGTGTATTCATTATCCGAACGAACGAACGAACGAACGAATGAAAGTGCGGTATCGAAAGACGGTGACCGAACGCATGCGGCCGTTCGTTCGTTCGCTCGACCATCCGTTTCGAGTCGGTACATCAAAGGCGTTCGCCAACAAATGCCTCCGGTCTTCTCGTGCGGTCCTATCGTGCGGTCCCCGTTCATACCACTAGCGAACATTCGTTCGTTCGTTCGTGCGGATAATGAATACGCACCTTAATAATGCAAACATATCGTAAATGTGATTTGATGTGCTGTATGGGAATATTTGGTAATGAAACATGGTACGGAATATTTGGTAAATTATTTTAAAATTTTAAGTAGAGTGCAACATTTTCTAACAGGCAAATAACATAAACATATGAAAAAAATGCATTGATACTGAAAAATATGTAATTATCTTTCGATATTTGATATGTTGAAATAGGTGGCGATTTTAATTATCATTCCACAATTTTTTATACTAAAAACAATACTTTTCTTATAGATATTATCTCCGTCTGCTAAAGGACTATTTCACAAGGCCATAATGCAAAGTGGTTCAGCCTTAAACCCATGGGCGTGGGGCCAAAAAAATTCTGTTGAGCTGGCTAATTTATTAAAACCCGGTATAAAAACTGAAAAGGAAGCCCTAGAAATTTTAGTAAACGCACCAGTAGCTGACTTGTATTCCGCATCGATAAAAATTACTGATGTACGTACCTACAAAAAATTATTTGGTACCTACCTACATAATATGAACTGATGAATTATTGCAGAATCTTCTTGACAGTAGCAAAAGAAGACCATTTGGACCAGTGGTGGAAAAACCAAATCCCACTGCTTTTCTTACTGATAATCCCATTGATATTTTAACCTCTGGAAGTTTTAGTCAGGTTCCTCTTATTCAAGGTAAAATTGTGTGCTTTCCAATTAAAATATAAGCTAATAAATTAAAAACTTTAACCATATTATATACAGTATTTAACCATATTATATTTCGCAGGTGTATAGAATAACCTGGCTTTTTGCAAAAAGACTAGGCATATTATAAAATGCCGGCTTTTTGTAAAAATTCCTTTTTACAAAAAGCCTATCTATTTTCAGTCACTTTACAAAAAGCCTAATCAGAATTAGGCATATTAAACAATGATGATGTTTTCTATACACTTCTGCAAAAAGACTGTCTGTTTTCAGTCATTTTACAAAATGCCAAATCGGGAATCAAGGCCAGGTGGATTAAAGTTTAGTCAGCTATGAGCATAAGCGTATTGAATAATTTACGCTTTAATAAAAATACCCCATTTTTCGTATACAAAAACCATGAACGGTAAATTAATAGGATTGATCATCCTCATAAGACGTACGTTTGCCTCTTCCCGCGCTTCAGCGGACAGTTGTGACGTCATTGTAGTCCTTGTCATGATAGTGTGTATTATTGGTTGCCTATGGTAAACTTATAAAAATAACAGCTGAGAAATTTTGAGTCAATTATTTTGTCGATTTTAAATGTGAAAACGGTGTTTTTAAAGTTTTTAGAGCTACAGAGTATATAAATACGTTCAGTTTGTGTTGTGGATTATGACTAAGTGCTTACTAAGTGCCTACGATATTGTTTAGTAATTATATTAAAGCAAAATATGGAAGCACTCTAAAAAGAATGCCTGCAAAAGGTGATGCTGGGAACTACGACTGTTCTTAAAAATGCATTATACGAGTATCTAATTTGATTTTTACAATTAATTTTCTACAGGGTGTCATTGAAATGATGTAGAAAAATCGTAAAATCCTAAAAATAGTAAAAAATTCCTATAAGTATAGGACAGAAAATGCATATTAAAAGGGCACTGAAAAGGTGAATTTAAAAAACGGTTGTTTTGAAATTGTGGGCTTAAAAAAGCTGTAGGTTTGGCAACATAGGCAGTAGGTTAAATTTACAAAAAAGCAATCCCATAAAAAATTTGTGGTTCTCAAAATATGAATAAAAAATATACATGGTTTTTTATTTTTTCAAATAAAATAACGCTACGTCGTTATTTTGTACTTGAAAAAACGGCAAAAAGAAAATGTTTCTTTTATCGATATTTACCAGCCACAAAAATATTTGCACTTATTTAAAACTCACCCTGTATAATTTAATATTTTCTAATAATCTTTAGAATCGAACTAATCAATATATAAATAGATTTTTATTAAGTAATTTACCTTTTATATATTTTACATTAAATATCATGTGTAGTTGAGCATTTTGTAATCAGTCAAGGTGTCATTGAAATGGTGTAAAAAATCGGGGGGTGATAGTACTCCAAAAAATAGTAAAAAAAGTTCCTATAAGTATAGGGCGGAAAATTAGGGAGTTAGGGGCACTGAAAGGGTGAATTTAAAAAACGGCTGTTTTGAAATTGTAGGCTTAAAAAACGAGATAAAATTTCGAAAAAAATTGCTCTGCCATAAATTTTGACCCTAAATCAAATGGTGATACTGAAAAATTATTTGGAAAAGCGGAAAGGGTAGTTTTTGCAACGGTAGGGGGTTGTTTTGTGAATCACTTTTTTGAGGTTATTTTTTCTGCAACGTGGGTTCATTTTTTGAAAATACATACTTTTTCCTACAAAAAAGTACTCTCGTTGCACATCGCCCAAAGTGATGGTTTTCGAGAAAATTGAAGGCAAATAATTTGTTCTGATGGGTTGCTAACTCAACATAAACTTATAAAAGTTATGGCGGTTCAAAAGTAACCAAGTAGTTATTAAATAATTAATTGAAAAATCAAAATATGATTCATGATTTTTAAAACATCTTATTGCTTTAAAAACGAAATAAACCAATTACCAAAATTCCTTATTAAAATAATGCCATTCCTTAATTCATTCATAGTAAATGTTTAAAGTGACCACCATTCATTTCAATGCAGACATCTGCTCTTCTTCTCCAAGATCTGCATACCTTGTGGAATATCCTTGGTGTTTGTCCGAATTTGATTGGAACAGTCAATAATGCGTTGCCGTAGTTGCTCTTCAGTATTAATCGGCACTGAGTAAACCAAAGCTGTCAAAGTGACCATAGAAGTAGAAATCTAGTGGATTATTTCGTTTTTTAAAGCAATAAGATATTTTAAAAATCATAAAATTTTGATTGTTCAATTAATTATTTGATAACTACTTGGTTACTTTTGAACCGCCATAACTTTCATAAGTTTAAGTTGATACCAACCCATCAGAGCAAACTTTTTGCCTTCAATTTTCTGGAAAACCATCGCTCTAGGCGATATGTACCAAGAGTACCTTTTTTGTAGGAAAAAGTATGTAGTTTTCAAAAAATGAACCCACGTTGCAAAAAAAATAACCTCAAAAAAGTTATTCACGAAACAACCCCCTACCCTTGCAAAAACTACCCTTTCCGCTTTTCCAAATAATTTTTCAGTATCACTATTTGATTTAGGGTCAAAATTTATGGCAGAGGATTTTTTTTCGAAATTTTATCTCGTTCTTTAAGCCTACAATTTTAAAACAACCGTTTTTTAAATTCACCCTTTTAGTGCCCCTAACTCCCTTAATATGCATTTTCCGCCCTATACTTATAGGGACTTTTTTTTACTATTTTTAGGCGCGGTCTCTTCAGTTATAAATAAATAACTTTTATCTAACAAATAACCATCTAAAAGATAAACACTCTAGAGCCTGATATCTATAGGATATAACATTTGAGTATTTTCATACAAAATAATCCTATAGATAACAATTTGGAGGACGGCCGCCTGGTAGACACTTCGTAGAGAAAGTGTTGCCAATATAAGATATCTGAAATTGAGATGGTTATATATGAAAAGTCGATACAACAGACAGAGACAAAAACTCGGAATTTCAAATCGTTAGATTAAAATGTGAGGTTATTGTTCAGTTGTCAAAAGATCGTCAAAATGAAAATAAAAACAATAAAATTCAACTAAAATATATTTTGTGTTCTCTCCAACTCCAACTAGTCCTATTATGGTATAGGCTATTTAAATTTACCTTTATGGAAAAAGGGAAAGATAATTCAATTTCAGCAGTGGTGGTGGTGCAATAGATCTATTGATGGAATGCGATTTATAAGAAATTAAAACAAGAAAAAATAATCTGTAAGTAATTTATAGTTTAATTACATAATATTACTGTTATATTTATTATATTAACATTTTAGTACAATTGATAATAGAAAATATGGAAGAAGCAGGTAAAGTGCAAGCAGAGATTTATAAACCAATCCTAAAACCGCCATCTGGTAAGTTATTAATATTGAAAATTAAAAATAGCATAAGACTGTTAGTAATAACAAATATGTTGTTCTAGGGCTTCTCATAGTAAAGAAATAGGTAGGATAGCATCAATGATAGTAATTAAGTTGAGTTTTTATTTTATAAAATAGATAAATGCACTTATACTTTTGTCTTAATAATAATAAATGAATAGTACCTATAATAATTGCTACATTTACACATTATATGTACAAATTATTTAATAAAAAAAATTAAATAAAAACAATTTTGTCATATTACTTTTATTTTTAAGAACTCAAAGTGATGGAACTTCAGAAAAAAAAGAAAAAATAAAGGAAAAATCTTGTCTAAACAAAGTTGAATTAACTGGAATTCAAAGGACCACAATACAGATGTTTTAGCAAGGTTTAGCTAGAGAGTTACTTAAAAAACAGCATGGAGAAGAGATGTACCGTATGATCGAAAAAAATTCGGCGTCAGCAATGGCTATGAAATAAAGATTGCTGTCATTTCATATGTAAATTTATATGGGAAATATCATCGAACATCATTTCCCAGCCAACTGGATGCCGTTTTTTTTTCGATCATTCGGTATAAGGTACATAGTGCAAGAAATTAAACTAAAATTGTAACACAAAAGAAATAAAAGCAAATGTGAGTTGAATAACAGGTTTTATAAGGTTCCTGTTATAATATTAATGAATTAAGATATGCGAATTAAAAATGAAATAAATAGTTTGATTTAAAAAGTTTTATTTATTTTTTACCTACTTTAGAGCTTTATTAAAAACTAGTTGAAGTCTGGCGCATCCACCACGAGATCAGGAAAAAAAAATACTTTTTATTTTTTTTTAATTAAATGAAAAACAAAAAATGCGGCGACGACAGTTTTTAGAAGAGCCATTTAGCTATCTTTTAATAAAAAAAGCAACTTTTTAGAGCAAGTCTTTACTTCAGTAGAGACTACACAGATAAACATTAGCATTTTATATAATATGTAGTAATGGTTTATAATTGAAAGGATTTAAATAAAATGGAATTATAAATTACTGTTTTATCACTATTATCCTAACTTAATGCATTCTCTTCGTTCTGATGCTTTAACAGAACAGAGACTCTCTTTATTTTGTAACAGTCCTTATAAAGTCCGGCACTAGCAACAATAGTTTTTTGCACCATTTCAATGTGTTTATTGGTGTTTATACCCCGCACGTTCTAAAATGATTATAGCCTACATACTCAGAATAGGTAAGTCTTTTCCAAATAATCTAAAATCGAATTTATTGGACTAAACGAAATCTTCAATAATAACTATGTCTTGGTTATGTTAAGCAATTTTGTCAAATATCAAATAAAATCAATATCTCCTCATGCCTTTGCTCATGCGTCAAATTTTTATCCGACAAATAAAGCACTATTTGGCAGTTCGGGCGCCAGATAGGATATCTGGGAGATAAGTTTAATTTATCTAATAGATACTGTTATCTATAGGTGAAGATACGCGTTTTTCTGCTATCCGCCAATTAAAATATATCTGGCAGATTATAACACGCTATCCGTACCTGAAAACACCGGGGGTTAGGAGTACTATCACCCCTGATTTTTTTTTTACACCATTTCAATGACACCCTGTATACTGCATATATAAGATGTTTAAATAAATAAACTAACGTTTTGCATACGGCAACCAATAATACACACGCTATCCTGACAAGGACTACAATGACGTTACAGCGAGGAGTTTTCTATTAGGTTAGCTTTTCTTGTACAAAAATAATAATTATTTATATCAAAATTTTATTATGTTTAGACGAAAACAACCTGAATCCGATTTAATAAATTTTAATTATAAATAACATAATTTAATAATAATAATAGCTCCCGTATATAGCGTTTGACGCCTTGGGAATAGCAAGGTAAAGCTTGCCATACTAGAGCCGTTCGGTATACAAGGAAGGTAATGTAGGGCTAGCACTACGCTTCAACCGCCTATTATTACCTCAGGATTATGAATCCCAAGTACTCATTTAAGGCTGAGTCGACCTAGGTACCCAAACTATTTTTATTTTAATAAAATAGTTGGCTGATGCAATGCCGGGTGTGGGAATCGAACCCACTACCTTGAGATTGGTAGACGAGAGCCTGTACCTCTACGCCACCGGGCACCGTAATAACATAATTTTAAATACATAATATATTAAACCTTAATATTAATATCTCATTTAATTATCATACCCTGTAATTCGATTCTGTGTACAGGACTGCTTCTTTGTGGAACTTTACTTTTTTTTAGAATAAAATGAATTTAGATCTTTATAATAATCATCCTCAACCATACTCTATTTTACAAAACAGAAGTATCACTTTTTGTGCCATTATTTCCAAATTTTGAAAGAGAAGTTCAAGAAATGTCACTGGATAAATTTAGGTTAGTTTTATAAAAATCCCGAGTAAAATGTTTTGTGCCATCTGACTAGTCTTCAATAGGCATTTTGCAAAACGACTGAAAACAGATAGGCTCTTTGTAAAATATCCTTCTCTTGTTAAAAACGCCGGCGTTTTATAATATGCCTAGTCTTTTTGCAAAATGCCGAGTTATTCGATACGCCAGCGACATACCTGTAATATATTAGTAAAAAGTGAAAGGTCCTTGCAGTATCAATATGTAATATTTAAAATAAAAATATATCTTGCCATATAACTGCTATTTTGTAAAATCTTCAGCTTTCAAAATTAATGCAAAACTGAAAATAACAAAAAGTTATGTTCGTTTGCCGTTATGGGGAAACCAACCACCGAGCCAACCACCCCCTTCCCAAGTAGCAAATTTTATTTTATACAGGCTGTATAAACAGCTATGTGATAATTTTTATAGGATACCTCAATTCATATAACGTGCTATATGGCCGTAATATGATAGCTTTACAACCAAAAAAGGCCCATTTTTATACAACCGTTTAGTAATATAGAAGTTCTATAAAAAGGGTATACAACTCTTATGCAACTATTTTACACAGCGTTATATGACTATTATAAAACTAGTTTTATTGTGTATTACGTGGTCACATCTAAGAAACAGAACAATAAAAACATTTGATCATTTAGCGAGGACAAGAGTATTTTATTTTTTACCGAAGAATATTAGTAGCAAATTATATTTTAAGCGTGTCGTAAAATGAATCTAGAGGATGTGGATTGTTAAAATGGAGACTTTACTCGACAATGAAAATGGCGGGTAAAGCCAGAAGGTATAAAAATATGTAATATAAAAATTCATTAATTTTTATATTAGGGTTTGAAAAGTAGGGACAATTTTTGTTGCGCCGAAAATTTTACTGGTAGATTATAGGTATGTATTTGGCAAAAAATTGAAGCGCATTAATTTCGATTAAGGTTCACATGTAAATTTAAACAATAAAATAAAATAAAATTTTCATAAATCCTTATTTTTAATTTAATTAAACACTTTATTACTGTATGTAGGAATCTTTTCACAAAATAGTTCTCAAAAATAACATTTTACTATTTATTTTGATGTTTTTAATTTTGCTTCATATAATGGCGGCCATAGGATATAAAAAAATTCTGCCTTAAACATGGTGAATTATAATGCAACCGTTTTATCATAAATGAATCCTTTAAATAAGTCTTTGTTGTAAAATAAAACGCTATAGGATAAATATCTATCATTACGCAGAATTTCGAGGCACTATAGAACTATTTTGGACATATTGAGATTTGTGACAAATAGATGTTGCCAAATCTCATTTGATTAGTATTTAAACTAACCAACATGATCAGATTTTCATGGATTCATGCACGCAATGCATTTCATGTGAGCCCGACGAGTGAGCGGCAACCTAAGGACTTGGAAAAACAACAATAAAACAATACAAACATTACTACAGTAAAACTTTTACATGAACGTGGCAACAATGATTTGAAGAAGCCAGACAACCCGAGAGATTTTGGCTTTTGAGAATCCAGGGAATTCTCGGGATTATTTGCCGTAATTTCGAGGAGTTTTTTCTTACATGCTCTTTATAACTACCACTGCGCTTGATAACTTCTTTCCAACTTTGTCCAGAATTCATAATAGCTGTGATTGATTATACTCGTCGTAGATATTACTTTTGCAACAACAACAATAAGAAAATAAATAACTAGGTATACAATTTAATTTAAAATGAGGTTATATTATACATTGCCAGTTGTATAATGCAGATATTACAGCGAATTTATTTTGTTACTCACAATTTTATCATATAAGGCTATATATAACTGGTGTTGTACACAGCACCGTAGTTTAACGCAATAAAACATTCTATCATACAACGTAATACAACTTTAATAAGACAAGTTTAAGTAACTATTATATGATCTTGTGACTACTAGTTATATGAATATTATAGAACTCTTTCATGGTGGGTATAAGAGTCTAATAAAATAATATGTTTGTTATCATATAGCATTGTCTTATTAAGTGTTATATCATACTAAAAGAAATTATCGTTTAATGCTTTATAGGATACGTTGTAAAAACCACTAGAAAATAGTTTAATATGACAACTTTTATTAAAAAACAGAAAGTCAATCAGTCCTTAAGAAAACGCTATTCGACTGTTATAAAATAATTCAATCCTCTTAGAATTTCTTTTTGCTACTTGGGTTGTTACGGATTTCAGGGCCTATAGCCCATCATTAGACGAGCTACCTAGGCTGGACTTCCCAAATCTGCAAGCACACAAATAACCAAAGTTTACCGAATTCTATCCGTAAACTTTGAAATAATTATATCTACTGGTGACTTAGTTTAGTGTCGGTGAGTTATTAGATAAAGATCTAATATCCTTCTGTGTACTGGAGCTTTTAAAAGTTAATAGAACAATAAAAACTTATTTAGAAGTTTGTTGACGTGGAAAAGCAAAGGCACGCTTTCTTTTCTAAAACTAACCGTCCCCAAATGTTGAAAATTTAAAGTAACTTAGTACTTATTTTAGGTGTGGCTGCTAATGAGGGATTAATATATGAATTCTTAAAAAATACTACTAAGATAGATCCTAATGAAATACCAGATTATGGGATATCATGGCAACTATCTCTCAAGAAAAATAGCCAAGAATACGAGAACATAAAAAATAAAATCATGGAACATTACTTTAAAAATGGCTTAACATCGGATGCAATATATGAAGTATAGTTCATTTGTTCTTGTTTATTAAGAAATATATCTAAACCAAAATGTTTTTAGTACTTAGGAGATACGATGTTTATAATAGGCAAAACAGAATCCTTGAAACTTAGCGTGCAACATTCTTTGAAACCTGTATATAATTACGTACTGTCATTGATGCCTGAGAGTACCATGAAATTTAGAAAACTATTTAAAGTACCAGGTAAGTTGGTCATATACAGGGTGGTCCGAACTGTATTCCGGAAACTTCGGCAGCATATTCTGCAGATAAAGATAAGTAAAAAAGTTCGTATATATGTATGTCCTAAAATGCTTAGTTTTGGAGATACAGGGTGTAGAAGTTTCATTTTTATTTCAATTTTTTCTCAATAATTTCTGAAGTAACGTTAATATTTGGATGAAAATTGGTGTCTGGGAGTTTTTTGACATGAGAAATTTGATTTTGATATCAATATGACTCCTACTAGTAGAGGGCGCCACCTACATATTTTTAACTGGTTTGAGAAGTAATAACTTTTTGTCCGTACCTGTATAAAACTACTGAGTAAAAAAAATATACATTTACGACGTTTTTTACGTGAAGAAGGTCTCTTGGTAAAAATCGCTAGTAGTATAGCTAGCGGGATACTGGATCAATTTTTGCTCGATGGCATGTTTTCCATCAGCATCGATCCGTGAGCCGAAGAAGTATTGACCTTGATTAATTTGAAGGTTATTTCTAAAGAGATAATGTTTGTGTGGGTAGTTCTTGTAAATTTACCGGAGGCTGTTGAAAAGGGCCTTAAAATTGGTGTCTGGGAGTTTTTGACATAGAAATTTGATTTTGATATCAATATGACTCCTACTAGTAGGGGCGCCACCTACATATTTTTAACTGATTTGAGAAGTAATAACTTTTTGTCCATTACCTGTATAAAACAACTGAGTAAAATATATACATTTACGAAGTTTTTACGTGAAAGATCTCTTGGTAAAAATCGCTATGAGTAATGGTTTTTGAGATATTTGGAATCGAAATTATTAAGACCTGTCATCATTGACATAAATTAAACATGCTGACTAAATAGTTATTAGAGTGAAATCATAAATTTGAAAAGTTTTTGTGCCAAAAATTCAACAGAAACTGTTTTATCATTATTTTTTGCAGAAAAATTTATGATTAATTTAATAAAATTAAAACTTCCCAAATTTATTATTTCAGTGAAATAACTATCTACTCAACGTGTTTATTTTTCGTCAATAATGACATGTATTGTCTATTTCCATTCTAAATATCTTAAGAACGGTTGCTCGTAGCGATTTTTACAAAGAGATATTTTTTACGTCTCTGTAAAAAGTCACAGAGATGTATATTTGTTCGCTAGGTAGTGTTATACAGGTACGAACAAAAAGTTATTACACTTCAAAACAATTAAAACACATGTAGGTGGCGCCCTCTACTAGTAGAAGTTATATTGACACCAAAATCAAATTTCTCATGTTAAAAAACTCCCAGACACCAATTTTCATCCCAATATTGACGTTACTTCAGAAATTATTTAGAAATAATCGAAATAAAAATGAAACTTCTACACCCTGTATTTCTGAAAGTAAGCATTTTAGAATATACATTTATACGAACTTTTTTACTTATTTTTATCTGCAGAATATGCTGCCGAAGTTTCCGGAACACAGTTCGGACCACCCTGTATATTGTGAATAGAATATCTGTATCACAGTACCGATCCATACATACATGAATATATACATACATACTGCCATTACTCGCTGACGAGTATTTGACAAGCATCAGAAGATGGTCACGCAAGGCGTTTTCTTTCATGAGCTTTTCTGTGACTGAAAAGCCCGATACGTGATGTTATCTGTCTACCGCACTCCGGACATTCAAAAATATCATTGCTTAGTTGCCTCTTTACTTTTTGATTGTCACTGTTAACTGAGTCATTCCAAAGTCACTTGGACTGGTTTAGAGCTCTTAATTAGCGATGGGAACTATCGAATGAATTAGACTATCGAATGGTTAATGAATGAATGATTTCAACTATCGAATGGTTTTATTCGAATAAAATCATTCATTCATTTGTATACTAAAGCATATGTAACAACCTCGCCGTGCGACTAAATGGTTATCGTTGAGCCACGACTATCGAATGCTTTTGATAAATGAAATTTAGTATTCGTTTGATTTTTGTATGATTCAGTGCCTTATTAGTTTTTCCAAATTTTTATAACTTCGCCGTATAAATACTGTGCTATTTTTGCGTTTATTAAAATAGGTAGTTAAAATACTAAAATAGTAGTTATTTTTTAATTTTATTTATTGACGATTGCGTGCATGTGCAGGTGGTCAAAATTTTTCCGAAAATTTGTGTGGTTTTCCTTAGTCCGATTTTTCAATTATTTAATTTTATATGGTATATGGTCTATTTTTTAATGGGAAATTTTGAGAAGTAGCAATTTTTAAGAGAGATGAGATGAACTTACAATTAATTTTAAAAATACATATTTGTATTTTAAATGTTTTAATAATATGAATTAGTTGAACTTAATAATCATATTTAAGTAATGTGGTTAACTAAATGGGGTTATCGAACTCAAACTATGGGGTGAGAAAATTAAAATGAAAGTTTTACACGTGCCGCCAATTTAAAAAAAAAAGTTAACGATGTTTGTATTTTGTTTATGCTAATTCTCTTACATGTAGTTTTTTGCGAAGAAATATTTCATTTATTTTTTAAAGTAAATGCCAGTAAAAGTAAATATAATTTTTAAATAGCAATATAAAGCACCTAATATAAATAATTTTGATTTCTAATTTTTTATTTATATTTTCCTTCCATTACACTGCATGCTTAGAAAATTAATAAATGTTTATATTTCATGATTTTAAAATTTGTTGTTAATATAACAAATTAGTTCTGTAATTATTATTATTTAATAAACCAACGTTGCCACACACAAAAAATTTAGAGACTATATTATTTTTAAATAGGATTTAATATAAATAATTTTGACATCTAATTGGTTGTTTATATTTTGCTACTACTTAAAAAAAATATTTATATTAAATGATTTTAAATTTTGTTGTTAATAGGTATAACAAATTATTACTGTTATTATTATTTATTAAACCAGTCTTTGCTTAAAAACATTAAAAATCATTTTCCTACATCCAAAATAACAAGTATTATTGCAGTGTAACAACAGAATATTAATAAAAAAAAATGCAGAATATATAGACATACTATCCCTAACTAACAAAAGCCAAACAATAATATTCTTTGCTAATATCAACTAATACCAAAATATGGCAACAGCGCCCTTCATAATGTATTTTCTGTGTAAATACTAGCACCTCAATAAAAAAAAATAATGTGTCCTTATCTATATCTGACTCCGCAAAAAATCAAAGATGCCGGCTTCTTTCATAGCATTGCCACCGACGGCTGTCGGGTTTCTCGGAAAGAAACCTACGTCGCCGGGCGACAGCTAAAATTCAGTTAATATTTTATTATAATCGATCCTGACGAATAAATGAATTTCATAAATGAATGAATTTTATAAATGAATGGCTTTTGCTGCCGAATTACTAGGATACAATATTTCAAGGCAGATGACGGATCTATTCGATAATTTTTATTCGAATAGTTTTCAACGAATGTTTTCTTACTAACTATCGAATTATTCGAATGAATTGCAACTATCGAATGTTTCGATAGTATTCATTCGATAGTTCCCACTACTACTCTTAATCTTAGTACCGTAGTTTGGGGCGAAATTGATAATTACATGGTTTAGTCACATTTTTAACTTTTGCGCCAAATTTATGCAACTAGAAGCAGTGGTGTGCATCAGTCTTGTTTAGTAAAGCTTTGATGACAAGACGTATGCAGTCGGGTGTGCCATTTTTTATCTATTTTTTGCAAAAAACGCGGTTAAAATTAATTAACTAAAATTAAAATTTAAATTAAAAATTAATTAACTAAAATTAAAATTTTAACCGCGTTTATTGCAAAAAATAGATAAAAAATGGCACACCCGACTGCATACGTCTTGTTATCAAAGCTTTACTAAACAAGACTGATGCACACCACTGCTTCTAGTTGCATAAATTTGTCGCTAAATTTAAAAATGTGACTAAACCATGTAATTATCAATTTCGCCCCCGGTTATCAATTTCTCCCCAAACTACGGTACTGCCTTTGAAGGCGCTATTGTCGGCAACGTTTGGATAAACAAATAAAGAGTCCTAATGGTGCGTCCAGACCTGAGGAGTCGAGTGCGAGACGAACGCGAGACATTCGAAATTCGCTAAGTGTGGACGGGTCTCGTAAGAGTCTCGCAACCGTCTCGCGAGACAACCCACGGAGCCTCGTAGCTATCCGTTCCCTGTCGGTTTTTCGACGGCCGAGATCAAAGAAAGCTCGCAGCCAAGTCTGGACGTGTTTTTGGTAGGCTCGCTCGACTGCGAGATGTTAGCTCTGATATTATAGTGCATATTGAAATGGAGACTAAAAAACTAAAACCTCCTAATACAAAACTAATGTCTCAAAACGAATGACAATGTTAGGAAAAAATATGTAAATAAATGCGGCAACATGACATTTTTTACGGCAGAGCTACCACCTGAATACCCAGCGCGAAATTTAAATTCCAGTTAGTCAGCACGATGGCGAATATGTCTATGGTTGGCAAGAATGATTTTTTTAGTAAAATGTGTTTGATATGAAAGTTTAATTTATATCAAATATAAACAAATTCTAATTAAACGAAGTTATTCTAAGTAAATTAATTAAAAGAATTTTATAAAAATATATAGATTTCAACAGGGTGTCTCCAAAAAAAGTTACTCTGGATCTTGATATTTTCCACGAGTTGGCATCACTGCCTGCAAGTCGAATTTTATTTATTTCTCTATATTTGCATATTATTAACCAAATAATACTGTTAAATTGTTTATAGATTCTTCAACTGGAGCACACCATGGAGCAGAATTAACCCTTCTTTTTGATACTCAAATTATACAGTTAACCGATGAATGCATACAAGCCTCCAAAAAGTTCGTAAAGATGTGGTCAAATTTTGCCAAAAACGGTATACCATCAACAGATGACATTAAATGGGATCCAGTTACTAACCCTGAGGAACTCGTCTATCTGGATATATCAGAAAATAGCCAAATGAAGAAAAATCCCTTTTCAAGAAATGTTCAATTCTGGAATGAAGTTTTGCGAACAACACCATATGACAAAGCATCGTTCAATTCGTAGGTTATAAGTGACAATTTTTTTTATTCACAATAATTCATAATCTATGTTTTTCTTCATTATTGATATTAAATGTCTATCAACTTTACGTCAAAAATGCATTTGCTTTTCTTTTATTTTTTTGATGAAAACCTTAAATACAGCGTATATGTATTAGCTTTACAAAATCAGATTTCATTATCACATAGTAAAGTTTATTGATCAAACTGTAAATGTTATCTTATCTGCTTTTATATATTTGTTTAAACCATACCGAAAATGTTTGCAATATATTTAATATACCTTAAGAAAATTTGTTTTAATTAAATGCCTCATATTAAAAATATTTTCAAAGGGATTGAGCTCTTGAATCTTAAAGTGTATACAGGGTTATTGACCACATACGACACAGCATTGCATTGCAGCAAAATTGTAAGTTTTAGGTTCGTTGAAAGACTATTAGAGCTACAATTTAAAAATATTTCTACAAGATACAGAGTGTTCCAAATAAATAAAAAAATATTGTACGATTGAAATAAGATAACTAATTATAAGATATTGATTAAGGTTTATCCGAGATTGATCCGATAAGATTGATTATGGTTTATCCGAGGGTTTATCAGACTTAACCATTACCGTTTTTGAAATATTTTCAATTTTGTGGAATTGCAGTAAAAATTTTAAGGCGTCATTTCTCGAAGGGTGTATTATATATGTATGTATTGTATTACAATTTATTTATGTATGTATTGTATTACAATAGTAAAAATACTACCCTTACAGAGTGTCTAAAAATTTGTATTAAATAATTACTAGCCTTAAACGGCAATAACTTGTTTAATTTAAGTGGAACACCCTGTATATTTTATGAGAATCTAATGCACAATTTAATTGTCTATCAAATTTTATTATATCATTTTTAATTTTTACCTATATCTTGAAGTTTTCGTAGAAAATGCAGTTTCTTATAATTTAGACCTCATTTAATAGTATACCCATGGAATATTGATATTTTTTAGATTTTTTTAAAATAACAAATGTACAAAATGTACAGGTGCTAAAAAAGAGAATATTCCAAGCCCATTTGTTTACAAAAATAAAACTATTTAAATCTTTGTAAAAGAGTATACCATTAAAATAAACCACCATTATTTCCGCCCAAAAATTAGTAAATTACATACTTAAGAGTTTTAGTTAATAAATTATTCTAAATAAGTGTGGTTTGATTCAGAAATCAATATAAAAAATTAGACGACGCGTCCCATCAATAAAAATTCGACAAATTTGTAAGCAGTCAATAAAATGAGTGGGCGGAGCGATTTGCGATGACATACTCGTAGTTTACGTCTACTGGATCTGTGTCTATGAGAGAAATGCGGATACAAAAACATTTAAATAAACAACAATATATTTTATACGTCCACTTGACGAATATTTCTCCGCAAATCGCTCTGCCCACTCATTTCATTGCTTACTTTAGTCATGGCCGGAACAGCGATTTTTTAATAACAGGTACAAGCTGTTCCAGTTGCAAAAGATACCTGTTCCAAGAAACCGGTTCCAGTTCTAAACTGTTCCAAAACGAAAATTAATACCGTACTTGCGTCATTCTGATTCGGTTGCTATTTTTCTTTTTAAATTTATATAAAAGAATATTTTTTGCTTAAATAATGAGAACTACTGGGGATTTTTCTGTTTTCTCTAAATTTAATCTACTATCTATGTTGCTATATTACCAAGATATAATATTTTTTAACTAAAAATTAAAAAAAAACTATGAAATTTTCGAAAAATATAAACTTTTCAAGAACATGTTTTCCCGAAAAAAACTCATGAGAATCGAAATATACAACCCCTACAAATATGTGCACTTATTTAAGACCCACCCTGTATAAGCACTAATGAATAAATTAAGATTTATAATTTTGTTATATACTTAAAAAGTAAATTCTTGGAAGAGTTTAATTTTTTTTTTAATATCTACTATATTTATAATACAAAACAATAACCGACTGTTCTTACACAGTATTTAAAAAAAAAAAACTATAATGCGATAATTATATTGCATTTGGCAACATCGCCAGCATTTTTTTATAATAAAAAATGTTCCTTACCTATTCTGTTTCTGTTTACATTAAAAAAATAAAATATTTAAAAAAAAAATATTATAAATTTAAAATTTATAATAAGAATTTAGTTGAATTTTAATGAAATATTTTAAATAACGGCAACAGCCACACTTGTTTTTTACGCCCCTGTATCCCGATAACAGATAACACCTGAACAGTGGCGTCCGCTAGACTTGGCTAGACTAGCGAAACATTGAGCGAAACTGATAGACGACCTCGATTATCAACTCAAGCCAGTTCTTTTTACTTAACTGTTTCAAACAGTTCCAAGTTCCTAACTGTTCCAAGCCCTAAACTGTCCCAGGTCGCAAACTGTTCCAAGTCTCAAACAGTTCCAAGTCACTAATTGTTCCAAGCGCTAAACTGTTCCAAGCCCTAAACTGTTCCAGGTCGCAAACTGTTCCAAGTCTCAAACTGTTCCAAGTCCCACTGTTCAGGTTGGATACAGTTTACGGCTTGGAACAGTTTAGCGCTTGGAACAGTTAGGGACTTGGAACTGTTTGGGACTTGGAACAGTTTGGAACTTCGAACAGTTAAGTAAAAAGAACTAGTTTCAGTTGAGAAACGAGGTAGTATGTCGCTTTAGCGACGCGGTCGCTTGGCGTTATATTATCGAGATTGAGTGCGAGTGCACTAATACACTGCATAGACGTAAAAAAACAAGGGTGACGGTTTTCGCAGCGTTGCCGATATTTTATATATTTAATTAAAATTCAACTAAATTTTTATTATAAATTTTAAATAGGAAATAAATATTTAAAAATACAGAAAGAATAGAATATCTAATATTTACTATTTTATATATGTAAAATAGTAAAATACATATATAAAATAAAAACAATTTACATTCCTAGATAATAAAAACAAGCGGTCGGTATGTATACATTTTTTGCGCAGAGTTTTGTTTAATGTAAACAGAACAGGCGAAGAGAATTTCTTTCCATCAAAAAAAACGTACTGGCGATGTTGCCAAATGCAATATAATATATAATTATCTAATTTTGAAAAATACACTATTAAGAATCTAGTATCACAAATATAGTAGATAACATAATTTAAACAATTCCAAGAATTTATTTCTTTAAGTATTTAATTTAAGTTGCAGTGTTTTGAAACAGCTGTAACTGGAACTGGTATAGAATAGCACATAAACCTGTTCCAAGCCAGTTCCAAAACAAACCTGTTTCGAAAATAACAGATCCTGTTCCAAAGCGTCATCACTAGCTTACTTGCAAATTTGTCGAATTTTTATTGATGGAACGCTTCGTCTAATTTTTTACGTTTCCCCCCTTACGGATGCCTCGTAGCTACAGAACGGATAGACGTACTGTATCTGTTGTTATAAATAGGCATTCGTGAAAAAAAAAATTATAATGTGTTACTTTTACCACACTGTCTGATGCACATACAAAATTCAGCAATTATTATTAATCAACGCAAACAGTCAATTAAAGTTTCATCCGAGTCGCTAAAAGCTTGGAAGAGAATTATAATAAATCGAAAAAAGGGGAAGACTTGAACCCCCTGTAGCTACGCAATAAAGCAGAATCGGACCCATGTTGATATGAATATAAATCTTAGTTTTACGCGAGGAATCTATTCACGTTAGATGTTTTTTGAAACACCCTGTATATTTTTTTTCGACTATTTACGACGAAGGAAAAGCCGGTAAATTAAAAACTCCGTAAATTTGAAATCCCTATTTGAGAGGTATCAACATTTCTCCTCCTTGCATTTGTCCGGCGATGTCACATTGTAAGATAATATACAGGGTGCTGTAACGTTTTTAGTTCGTTACATGTCTTTTTTATATATATGATATATATGATGTCTGGCGTATCGTCATCGGATTCCGTATCGTTCAGGCCTGATAATTTATTTGGCACGCTTGGCGTAATTTTTACGTTCCCTAGTCGCCAACCCTGCTATCGTTTCACTGTTCTGTGGAGGCGCGCGCTGTCAAGATCCTTGTTAGATGTCAAGGCGCCTCTCTGCGTTTTAACCTCACTTTGTTTTTGGCCACGGTTGCAAATCCTGCTTTTAGAAATGGCAATTTAAATCTTGCTGCAAAATCTGAATCAGCTGCCATTTCGAAGCTACAGGTAAAGATGAGTTATTATCTTTTATAGATTAGATATTATTATTGAATATTTTTAGGGTAGAGTTTTGGATTGACCCACCTTAACTCGTATTTGTATTTTGCTGACACGTTGGTGTACTTTTGCTGTTGTCCTCCAGAATGATAAATCGAAGAAAGGACAGTTCTTTTGTTTATTATTGAGCCCTCGGAAGTGTTTCGAGGTAGGTTTATTTTGTTTATTAGACCTTGTTTGGTTTTAAACAGGAGTTTCGTATTTTTAGGGTCTTATGGACGGACTGTGTCCAAGGTACAGGCATTATCCAAGGTCCTAGTAGTGTTCCAAGGTACGGGTATTGTTCCCCTGTACCGTTATCTTATGGACAGTATCCAAGGTTCGGGCATTATCCAAGGTCCTAGTAGTGTTCCAAGGTACGGGTAGTGTCCCCATATTGCCACAGTATGGATGTAGCGTAAGCCCCATGCTGCTTCGTTCCCATTTCTCAGTCTAGTCAGTAGTTACGACTGTATCAATTCATGGTGTCCTCATTCTGGCCCCCTTTTGTTGTATTGGATGGCCGAGTACAGAGATGTGAGACCACCTCACGCTGCTACTGTTTGAAGCAAGGTTTCATAAAGAACAGCTAAGTGTAGATTTAAGTTCTAGTTTTACATTTAACATCTAAAACATTTTCAGTCTTAAACAATTATGTACATCTTAAGTAATATCGTACAGACTATGTTTAGTGGTTAGATTGTTAAGAACATTCATGTCGATCTAATATTTAAAATATGATTTAGATCTTAGGTTTCATTACATTACGTCTTGTAATGGTATTACTTTCATAGATATTTAGTACAACTCTTAACACCACTTTCGTTGACATATAACCACTATAATAATTATTAAAATTGTACAATGCTATTTACCATCACAGTCCATCTTAAATAAATATATTCATTAGTTTTAAGTAATATATAACTGTGTTTTCTTTCTTTGTACATGCCTGGCGCCCAATATCTATATTTTTTGTTTATTGTTATTGATTAGTTTTCTCTCTAGTGAAATACCTTATCCACGACTGCTCTCCGATGAAAAGCTGCCGT